CACCCGGCGGCCGGTCCAAATAGGGCAACAGGTCCATCTTCATGACATCGATCTGCCATCATATACTATCAAAACATTGGTCGCTCGTCTTGCCTGGTTGGAGCGTGGGTGGGTAGTTTTTGAGCTGGAGAAGGTTCATCCCCTTGCGTCGCCCATGTTCATTGCTGTCCCATTCACTTGGGTACACTTATCTTTTGTCCATCGTCTTTGCTACAGCTACACCTACCACACGCTGCCTGGGACTCACTTGTTCCAAATTGGAACTACTCCTCTCCCTCCCTCGTTTGATCAGGTGGTCCAACACAACCAGTCCATTGGTAAGACCATGGAACTGTCGGATTTGGACTAGGTGGTGGACCGGTGGCTCCAGTTTCTTTTTCTTCAGCAGAACATTCATTTACAGTGCGATTATTTTTGATTTTTGAATCATTTTTATGGACACATATTTTTTTAGAATGCCTGACTGACAATAAAGGAACTGTGTTGATACTGATAGTGTTTTGCCTTGCCCTTTTTTTACTGCATCTTCCCATGACATCATGATTTTCCTGCTCTCTTTTTGCTATTGGACTTTACTTTATGGCTGTACAAACCTGTGACATTACTCACAGCATTCATTGTTCTATCTCTTTCTTTTCCTTTTTTGACAATCTTATCCTGTACTACCTACGCAGGATTCGTCAGCGTACATTCCTTCCTTCATATTCTTTCTCATTCTTTTTGCACAGCTATACTGTGCATAGCCTACTTTTCTTTTACTATATAAACCCCTGTATTTTACCTTGTAAAAAAAAAAAAAACAACAAGAAATCCAATCCAGACTTCTTCTCTACTCTCAAGTTCACTACTCTGCTACTTGTGATCCAGTGTGGTCACAACACTTTCCACTGCTACCACTGTCAACTGCTGTCATCGTCACTTCCCATTTTTGAAGTCATTGTCATCCCTTTCGATTAGAGTCCTTCTGAGCACTACAGTTTGTGCGTCAGGAGCCTGCTATCACTGGGAACCTCGTCACCTCGTCATCCTCGTCGTTCTCAAACCTACCTTGTGCTACAATTAGTAAGGTAGTGCTCATCTATACTCGTCACTAAGCACCTATTTTTTATAAATTCAACTATCCCTCCTCCTCAAAACCCACACCCATACATCTCTGGGTTTTACTTTGAAGGATCCTTATACATACCACCCCACGAACAACCAGAGCACCCACTGTTCTAGGAGGCAAAGCCCTTAAACAAGTTCCGTGGAATCTGGGAGGATTGTGTGTTAGTTTGTTTTTGTGTGTGGTTTTCTAACAACAGTTCTCATCATCGACATCGGCCCTCATAATGAGCATCTTCTTGTATTGCCAGAACAAGCTGAAGTAAGGTATTCTTGATTTAGCACCTTTACCATTGTGCGGGAATTCTTTGTCTGGAGACACCAAGAAAACAGCCTGAAATAGAACAATTAATGCTTTCCAGAAGGCCACTTTAAAATATAGGGTTCAAATTTACCACAACTCCTCCCATTATTGTTTAAACTAATGCTTTATGATGTAATCCTGACTATTCCTAGGTACAAATATAAGTTGTCCTGTATACCACTGAGGCCCTGATTATTCCTAGTTTCTACAAATCAAAAAGTCATAGCAATATGCAGTACCCAGCCAGATCACTGGGATTAATTTTGGTTCCTAGCCAAAATTGTCTTTGAGCACACACTGGGACCACTTGTTACCATTTTGTGAGGAGGACAAATTCCCTACCTCATCTTTGGTGGGGAATTTGTCGTAGGGACTTGAAAACCATAAAAATTTGTATGCAAAAAAGCAATTTTGTTACTAGTAGAACATATTGTGTGTAGAAAATTTTTGCGTTTTTTTTGAGTGAAAAAGCTAGAAAATGGTGGTGAGAGCGACAACAACCTCAACTCAAGATGTTCAAAAAAAATGTCTATTAACAAAATGTGATCTACTGGTTACAAAAATGCTTTTTTGTACACTAAATTTTTGACCTCTTTTTGCGACTTCTAAGTCCCTACGACGAAGTCCCCACCTCATCTTTGGTGGGGCATTCATCCTCCTCACAAAACGGCGACGAGTGATCCGAGTCTGCTCGCAAATTCATATCAACAAATATGACAAGCGCGAGTAGGGACGAGCGATCCACGATCTCTCACGTTTGCATGCACACTTTGTTTCCAGAGGGAAAAATCATGTATTGTTTTTAATGTCAAGAATATATATCAATAAAAACATTGTTATGCAGACATAATGCGATGAAGAGAAAATGTAAAGTGGCTAAAGTACAGCATGCCATACACCTATAGTGAACAAATAATACCAGCGATAAGTGATGCTGGATAGGAGATATGATAGAGCAGTCCGAGACAAAAGAAAAATGCAATCGATGTCGATCTAAGATGACTGTGTGCCAAGAATCATCTGAGGCTTGCCAGTAGCGATGGCCATAGCCGTCAAAAGCACCTCCCACGCTACATCCATAGCACCCCACAACCTCTCGTCAAAAATGCCCAGTGCGCATACATTCCGCCAGAGTCCATTGACCAACATAGCACGTGAAAGCAGTGCTTGAGCGGTATACATGGAAGAAAGTTTGGTGGCAAATTGGACCAACTCGGGGTTGCCACTTTCCATAGGTTCTTCACGATACAGTGAAGGCGGTGCTGGGCAAGGGAGTAAAGACGAAAGGAGGTGATCCACGCGCTTGGTGTAGAGGAAGGCGGAAAGGTGAGGGAAAGTCTCGGGAGCGGGAATACATAGAGGGACGACAGGAACCGAGATGGATGATCCAGGAACATCTGGGGCAGAGGGGTTCGATTCGGGGAGTTGTGGGAGATTGGCGCAGTGAGCGGCAAGGATGATGTTGTGAACAGGGAAAAGGGTTACTCGTCGGCGAGTCGCAGACGATTGGCGAGCGTAAACGGCAAGCATGTGGGTAGGCATGTAGCGGGACATGTCATCGACTACGATAGAGAGCTCCTTAGGGAGGTTGTTTCGTACGGGCTGAGCTTTCACATTTGAAAGTGCTCGTATCATGCTAGAGAATAATGTATGAGTATGCTGTTATTAAAAACGAAATGAAAGATAACGTACTCAGGCCCGATAGCCTCCAAGCCATCATGGATATAATCAAGAGGAGTACCAGCTAACTCAGCATCAAGTGCTACGAGTTTATCTTCAGAAATATCGCGGTAGTCTGGGCGCGATAGATATCTGGGCAGCGATACAGAAGCGTTTGGCGATACAGATGGAGACGATTCCTTCATCGTCACATCTATAAAAGAGGAAGCAGAGGTAGGAGTGCGAAGAACTCCAGGAACATCGAATTTGATGGAAGTGGGAGTTCTGGTGGTGCTCCTGCGTTTGGCTTGCACAACAGTGTAGCGGGGATGGTTTGCCCCACCAGTAGTGCGAGCACGGTGTCGGCGAGCAGAGAGGCCTAGAATACCGCTTCGTCCATGAGACTTGGACGCAGTGAGTCGGGCAGTGGGAGGGGTGTTCTCGGAGTCCTGGCGACGGGTAGCTTGAAGGACCATGCTGAATGATGTGAAGTGGGGATAATGTGAATGAGTTGGTGGATACAAGAACTGATGAGTCTTTATGCGAGTGGAGGCGGGGATGAGACTTGATGTCGACGGGGACGAGTGACGGATAACCATGTCGGGGAGAGTCTTATAAAAGGAGCAGTCGCCTTCGGATTGACTTCCACGTGTGACTGATAGCGTGACGCACTCGAGATGTGACTGCCTTGCGCAATCGACAAAAGTTGCCGCATATGGCATCTGTTTGCAAAACACTTGCCGCGTATAGTAGTTTTTTACGGACCCATATGGACAAACACGGACCCATAGTGGACCCACTGAAAAGCAATCGAGCTGGAAGAAGCTGCACCGCAAGAAGGTTCTAAGGAAATCGTTACAGCATCATTACGAATTTAATAACAGATACCTATTATGGATACAACATTATTGTTGCAGTTCGTGTTGACTCACTGTAAAAGCAACAGGGTGAGACTGGTGGTACCATAACCAAGGGGATAGAAGCGTACGTTTAGTATTTTGAGCAAAAATGCATGTGCTGTCGAGTCACTGAAGCCCAAAATGGTGGTGATTAGACCATTTGAACGAGAAACACACAGCACATTTCGCTAGAAGTTAACAGCTACTGGCATTGTCTGCGGCGTAGAGTGTGCTCGAATGCGCTACAAGGTAACTTTGTGCGTCTGTCGTGCTTGTGAGACAGCATTGCTGAGCACTGTACAAGAATGAATGCAAATAGATAAGCAAACACGATCAATTTGGAGCGTATTCAATTAATGTACCGGGACGCGTGATGTCGTAAATATCCTGGGTGAGTCCCTTTGTGAATACAATAGGTTTATGCGGTCAGGGGCCAGAGTATTGCGACGCGACTGAGGGGCAGAGAAGGCCAGAAAATCCTGCACCCCGCGGACATTTGAATAGTTACCATCGAGCTTCTAACTAACAAAAGGCAGGATCGTTTGTTACAGGCGAGGTCTGGGATTAGAAGAGCACTTGCTGGAGTCATTCGCGCTCTTCACAGGGCATTGGTTACACGAAGCCCCTGTGCGACGCTCACTTGACTAAAGGGTACATGAGAAACAACGGGAAAAGAGTTGTGTGGCGCAAACCTGGATAGTAGAGAGCAGATGTGGTGCCACTAATCTATGGGGTAAAAGTTAAGACAATCAGAACATTAGAAATTTTCGGGCCCTTACAAGATAAAAGCGCCATCAATAGGAGACTGAATGCGCAATTGATTCTTGAAGTTGGTTGATGATCGCAAAAGTGAACCAGCGGATGTGGAAAGCCAATAGTCACGGTAGTGTTTCTTTGAGTCCGAGATCCGTGATGAGACGCAAAGACGGGCAGCAGGAAGTTAAAAGGAGAACACACATAATTATAAACCTCATGATGTCTTCAGAGCAGTATAATAAGTGTCTGCAGGTGAAACCTACCACGATCGCACTGACGAGTGGACTGCGGTTGACTTTACACCAATTAGACGGGCAATGAGGACTGCTAGTACTTTTTCGAGAGCCATATTCCATGAATGAATCCATGTACAGTGGTATCTCTATTGCCTACATGGTAGAGAACGGATGGTTTTTGTCTTGAACTGCTGTGGCGTCGAGTGAATGATCGCCGCGGGTAGGGAATATATTTAATTGGGTCACGTGAGACGCGTTTTGTCGGGAGTACGGTCATGTGATCTTTGTTCAACAAGCGTTTGGAACGCGGCGACGGAACTCAAGCTTGTCCCTGCCAACGGTTTTATCTATGCATTTTACAGGGTTTTGAAAGTATCTTTTACAATGGCGACAACAACACAGATCCTCTTCAACTCGCCCGCTCTTCATTCCCTGAAACGCGACCAGCTCGTCAAACTCTGCAAAATACACACTTTGAAGGCATCGGGAAAGAATGTAGAACTTATCGAAAGGCTCAAACAGCACGCTCAAACCCTGCCACCAGACAACCCTCTCAACATTGCGACTAGGAGCGAGAATCCCGAACTTACTGGAGAAAGTACTAGCGCTGAATCGAAAAATGACGAAGAAGACGAAGGTTCAAATGGAAAAATACCTATGCCAAGGCCGAGCGAGCAATGGGAGGTTGTGATGGACAGTATTGCAGAAGTGGATGAAGAGAGTACACTGAAGAGCAGACGTGGGGGTGCGAGTGCTCAGGCTGGTGAATTTGGTACTGGCGGATCAAAAGGTGAGATTTTCTTTTTTCTTCCATTGCGAACACAAGGGCGCTATTTCTCTTTGCGTAAATTTTACATTATGGTTTCTCGAGAAAATGGCTGAAAATGTATACTAATGTAACGGTTACAGCATCCAGTGTCAGTTCATCTATAAAAGCCATCGCTACTTCCTTAGGTCTCAAACGTCATACGTCTAATAAATCAAAGAACGCGACGCCACCTATTCCCTCTACACTATCCACGACATCAGTAACGTCTGGACACGCATCGACAGAGGATGCCGTTCCAGAATCCACTCTGCCATCTTCTGGTTTGTTCATTTTGCCACAGATAAATCATTTCACGATATTGAATCGAGACACAGGTGTTAATGACATGGAAGCAGCGCCTATACCGGGACAGTCACTCCGACCAGGCTTACCTGCACCATCAAATGCGCGTTTGAGCACCAGCGCCGCACCAGCAACGACTACCATACGCCTAGTAGCCTCAAAGTCTGACCCAAACTTGTTACTGTCACCGCCAAAGTTGAAGCCTTTCCAAACAACTTTTGATCTTATGCCTGCGTCACCTGCAGGGGCGACAGCTTCGAACGGAACCACGTTCAGTGTCTGGCCCCTCTCACCGGGACAATCCGAACGAATCTACCCCACGATACCTGTGTTTGAGCCTGTAGACAGCAGTGCGGGCGTTGAGATGGAAATGGAACAAGATAGCGATATGGACATTGATGTTCCTGGTGGTTTCAGCGCTCCACTTGGTAAACTGACTACTCCTGCAAAACCTGGCCAAGGAGTACAAAAGCCGGCCGACGAGACTCCCAAATGGCCTCAGAAACCATCAACTCAGCCTGAGGATATTTTCTCCCCAATGAAAGCGACTGCTAGAACGAGTCTTGCACCAGCAAAACCAGCCCCTTTCATCTTCGGTTCACCCCTTCCTCAGCATAACCTTTCTAACAAGCAGTTCAGGTCCGCGGCCCAGTCAGTATTGGACGAAATGAATAAGAAACTCGCAGAGGAAGGCGTTGAGACTGTAAAGATTGATGTCCTCGAACAGCGAAAAAGTAGACGTAACCAAGATGCAGCCTCGGGAGGGAGTGGAAATTCTGGCGAAAAAGTCAACTTACGAGTCGGGGAGATATTCGATAAACTACATGAACAAGAATTCGAGAAGATGGATTCGATCGCGAACCACTATGCTGCCAAGAGAGGAAGTCCAGTCAAGGACGCCCCTGTGTCGAAGAAGAGGAAGTCAAGTGTGGCTGCGGTGGGACATGGACAGAGACCAGGCCCTGCGGGTCGGAACAGAGCCAGTGGCGCAAGGGTCATTAGTGCTGGAGCGAGGAAAAAGATGGTCCCCGGCGCATTCGGTGATGATGACGACGACGACGAGCTCATTGATAGGCGTACGTCGAAGAGACCTAGGATGGACCCTGCAGAGGCAGGAGATAAACAGAAGGATGAAGAGAAGAAGGTTACCATTGCACAAATTGCTGTCGAACAAGGGGAGCGGGATGAAGAGGCGAAGAGATTGCAAAAGGAAAGAGAGGCGATTAGACGCAAGTTGGACCATAATAAAGCCAAGCGAAGAAGCAGTATGGGAAGACCTAGCTTAGGTGGAAAGACCCCGATTCCTGCTCGTGAGCCTCCATTTCATTTAGATTTTTATGAACTTGTCTGATGTATCATCTCTTGCTCAGAGAAAGGTAAAGGAACTACCTCTCGCTTTGGGTTTTTATCTTCCGCGAAGTCGCTCGTTCAGAACGTGTGGAATAGAGGAGTCGGTAGCTCGAAGACCACAGCGTCCAACATACCAGTTCAAGTTGGTAAGAATGCGCCGACGACCCAAGAAGCCAAGGCACCCCCTAAGGCGGGAACCAGAAAGGTTTCTGTCGCTCCCGGTTCTTCAGGTAATCGTCCATCAAGTGTGGCCAGGACCAGTCAAATAAATCCGAGCCGTGTGCCCTCGGGAAGTCATCCTAAAGGGAGCTCATCTAGTCGGCTTAAACCTACTTCAGGTAACGACACGCTCAACCCAAGCACGAGCTTGAGCAATATTAGCGTGACGACCACTTCTTCTCGTGCCGCAAGGTCCCCTATTCCTTCCTTCGGCCCATCAGCTCCAAGTATGTCGAAAGTTACAACTAATTCTAGAGCGCCGAGCTTGGCTGGTACAAGTGGGCAGACTAAGGGCCACAGCAGAAATGGGTCCACGGTTGGTGTATCTTCTCTGGGGACGAGGACTAGTACGGTAGTGGGTGGCACGCGCGTCTCTTCTATTGGAACTAAGAGTATTCCTAGAAGTACAACAAGCAACAGTATCGGAATGCGACCTAGCGTGAGCGGAGCGTCTATGAATACTACCAGCGCTCGAACTAGGACTTCCTCCAGGCTTATGGCTCCGACCGCCAGCTCGTTGGCAAAGACACAGAGTCTAACGCGGATCCCTGTCTCGCCATCTTCACCGAACGAAAATGTAACTAGCCCAACTCTTTCGCCTAGTGCTAGCGGTCACAACAAACCTGGTTCAACGTCTCGTTCAGGAGTGCAGGAATCTAAACCTGTATTAGATCAGATTACAAATGGACCTCAAGATCGGGTATTTTCTCCTCGTTCGGGGAAGATCTTCAGTCAGCCCCTGAGTCCAACGTCCATTCCGAGCCCTGTGCGCGCTCAACCTTCATTTGGCATGGCTGCTGCTGCTTTAGCAGGACCTAGCACCGGTGGCGGTAATGCTTCTGAGGTAAAGCCTACCATACCACCAAAGCCGAAAGTGCTACCTGGTCGCAGGCCACGGATATCTCGATCGAAGGTGATAGCAAAATTAGCATCACAGCGTGCTGCCGAAGGCGGGGATGGCGGCAAAAGTAAAGGTAAGATTCGGTCGAGTATGGGCGCGAACGTCGGAGGAAGAACGAGACAGTCGTATGGTGGAGGAAAGGTAGGAGGTGACGTTTTGTTGAGCGCCAAGAAGAGGGCAAGACAAAGCGAATATGCTAGGCGAAGGAGTCGAGCTGCTGGTTCTGGTGCGATCCCTATGGACCTTGAAGATTAGTTTTTGGTCAATTGGAGGTCCTCTGAGGTTTCAATTCATTTCTTTGCTTTTCTATCAGTCACTTATTATAGGAGGTCAGTATCCTACGAATTTCTTGATGTGTCCGAGTCATGTGTTTTGATTTGGTCTTTCCCTTCGCACTTTTCCAAATTCCGTCTTTGCAGAACCTGACTTGAATCCATGTAGCTCTATGTGTAATTTAGCGCAAGATAATGAATGTGCGAGTGTCGTGCGCTTGTGCATAGCATGAAGTTGATGTCAATCAAATTCCTTTTTAATGAGATACAGTATCAACTGGGGTGTCACAGATGTCGTCAATGGTTGAATGTCAGTAATTATTCTAGAGCCAGAGTCATTCACTTATCGAAATAATTAGTAGATCTGTAGTGATCAAAGTTGTCAGTAGCAACTCCAAGATGTGACTTGAACCGCGTCCGGCTGCTCATAACGTACAAATAAAGATATTCTTTCAATTTGAACGTAACAAAGCTTGGTTAAGTTAAATCGCAGGCACCGACAAAGTGAAGCGTGTTATCCAGCCCTGACTCGAAGTCGACATGTCAACAAAAGCCTTTGAAACCCCGGCCATCATGATCAGGCTGTCACCATGACGGTTATGGCCCGCATCGAACGGAATCTAATTATCTGAAACTTTCCTGCTAACCTCGCTGCAAGATTCAAATCATGTCCCACTTGCCAACCACAACCAAAGCTTGGATTTTACAAAATCCGCCTGTGAAAAACATCATACTTGGGAACTCAGAATCTTCTACGTTTTCCATACAAGAGCAAACACTGCCTCCTTTGGATAAGGGTGATTTGCTTGTCCAGCCTATCTATCTCTCAAATGATCCAGCACAACGAGGTTCGTCTCACCCCTTTCACCTTTGTCGTCGAGCTTATCGGTGAGTGTGCCAGGATGGATCCAGAGGAAGCTCGATGAGGGTCGGTTGTACGTTACCCCAGTACTGCAAGGACAAGCCATGGCTACTCACGCCGTCGCACGAGTCCTTGCGACAGCTGGGCCTACTTCCACCTGGAAGGAAGGCGACCTAGTTTATACCACAACTACCGGTTGGAGACAGTATGCTGTCGTGAAGGAGGAGGACGTTAGGTCTTTGAGGTTTGTCTCAACGGCGCCACATATTCAGATAACTCACTATTATCACTCCGTTAGATCCATACCTGGCCTCTCGCCTAGTTTATACGTGGGCCTCTTTGGTGTCCCAGGGCTTACTGCGTACTGTAATGATAAACCGTGTTCTTTCACTGAATATAACTCACGTGCCATCCTGATCTTCAAGTCGGTGTTACAGAAGTCCTGAAATTACAACGGGGACAGTCATTGGTTGTCAGTGCGGCTGCGGGGTGAGTCGTGGAGCTACTACCCTGCTTATAGAACATTCGTTGACGCGATTAATCCTGCAGTGCTGTCGGTAACGTTGTCGTACAATATGCCAAGAAAGTTATCGGTGCTTCAAAAGTTATCGCCATCGCCGGGACGCCAGAAAAGTGCGCTTGGATTAAAGAGATGGGAGCAGATATAGCCTTGAACTACAAAGCTCCCTCGTTCAAACAGGATCTCAATGCAGCCACGGAAGGTTTTGTAGACGCCTATTTTGACAAGTAATTTCTCGCATTAAATCCTCACGTCGTTTTACTCATCGGTCTTTCAGCGTCGGGTAATATACTTCCGCTTGAATCTATTCCTGCTGTAAGGCGCTCATATATATACATCCAGTGGCGAGATCCTCGATCAAATGTTGACAAGAATCAAGCAGCACGGTCGAGTGGCTGCCTGCGGAGCGATCTCAAGTGAGTAACTTCATAGTGAGCAAGTTTGGTATTGACTGTGTGTTAAAATTCCTAGATTACACGCACGATAATCTAGATGCGGCGAATCTGAGAAATTGGTTCGAAATTATCACCAGTCGTCTCACAGTGAAGGGATTCATTGTTCTGGACTATTTCCCCCGTGCTGGTGAAGCGGTGGAAGCGCTCAGTAAAGCCGTAGAAGAAGGGAAGATGACTGTGGAAGGCGCAGAGACACTGGTGGAAACGGACTTCTCCAATATTCCCGAAGTCTGGTTGAGGCTCTTCCAAGGTCAGAATGTAGGGAAACTGGTGACCCAAATCGCCGGTGCATAATCAGATCCCGCACCTGCCAGCCAGGGTTCATAATTCCAGCTGGGTCAACAATACCTTGAGCCCAACTTGTATGTGTATTGACATAGACAACGATTGGAAAAACTGCATTGACGGTCGTACGTGTTTAACATACAATGGTCACTCATCGAAAACGATTCGGAGCCATAATATTCAGAAATTCGGTTCTTGAAGTAAACGGTGCCGAACAATGATTGCTGTGTCCATTGACCACGTTGCTTATTGAAATGATCAGCGTAAGTATAGCAAAATACCAGCAAGTCATCACGATACTGTTACGATACGGTTTATATATACTGTGCATGCCAATTAGTCAAGTGTTGTGCGAGGAGTGAAATTACTGTGGAAATAGTAGTAAGGAATGTGTACGTTAGTGCATTAGGCGGTCGTTATCTTCGTAAGGTATATGTCGTATTTGCTAGTTATAAGAAGAGTGAGTAAAGGAAACAATTGGGGGAAAACGTTGAGCAGAAAAAAATGCACTAAACGAGGTCATTACATCGGATAACTGTAGCACGAGTCGTTGACTCCAACCGCAGCAACGGTTCATCTGCCTAGATAGTGCTTTCGTATGCGCCGCGCTTCAGCCGTGACATTCCACACGGTCTGGACCACTTCCATGAGCGAGGTATCGTGTGGTCCCAAGGCCAGAATATTTTTCCAGAGCCCCTGATTATATCTGAGGTATTTGTGAAACTGGTCGTCATCACATATTCGCGCCATGACCTGTGCCATGGCAGCTACGGAAGGAAATTCCTCGATAACTTCGGACGGTAGGAGGCTGCAAGAGAGTATACGGCCTCGTACTTCTACTCCGAGCACATAAAGCAAGAGCAGGGGTATCGAAGGCGCATGGGGAACAAGAGTTGGTACGACTGGAAGGGAGACTACTTGAGCGCGGAGCGGTGGGACCCAGTATGGGACTGGAAGCGCCGTTCCAGGAGGGCTTTGAGGTAGTATGTTGGATCGGAAACACTGGGCGTAAAGCTCGGCGTGAATAGGAACCATGATAGGCTGAAATGATGGTCCTCCATCAATTTCTGGGGTTGTCGAATATCGCAAGACATGAGAGGGCATTATGGGCGTCTCGCAAGACTTGCATGTCAAAGGTTGTTGGGAGTGGAGAACCTGGTTCGAAGACTGCCTTTGCAACGTTGAAATGGCGACATAATAGACTGTAAGAAGATCAGTATAAATTTAAGAGGTTTGTGAAGATCATACTCAAGAGGATCGTCGTTTTGGTTGAGCGTGTATTTTCTCGATGGTAGAAAACGAGGTACGGTGGTAACTACGTTTTGTGGGCGTTTAAACGAGGGAGTTGCCCTAGGCGAAGGGCTATATGGTGGAGTAGGGAGTGACATGAATTTGAGCGGAGGCGAGTGTTGTGGTGGTTGCGTGTTCATGGATAACTACTCGTGTGGGCAACATGTCGTATGGTATATTTTAAAATGTTGAGCAAATCGTTGCGGATATAACAAAAAGCGGATTAAACTTACCGTATATGCGGCGTCAATGGATAGCGCCGGAGGAATCTGTGAGATCGACTGCGTATACTATCAGAACGAAAAGGCGATGAAGATGATGACCATTATTCTGCTCAGAACGATTCACAAAGAGGACGCGATTGGTGGTAACAAGCCCACAACTTGAAAGGTAGAAAGGTAGAAAGTTACGACGGGCGCACAGCAATGTGTCAGAGACTCGTCGTTTTTAGGCTGAAACCGATATGGCTTCACCACGAGGGTGATATGTTGGAGCCAAGGAGTAATATACTAAAACGGCCCCGAAACGTAAAGCAGCACAATGTCTGTAAATTTTCCTGAGGGACATCCCGACGGCCATAGAAGCGTCGGTGTACGTCTTGATGTAAGTTTTACGGAAGATGGCATGTATTCTAGACAAAAGAAAAAGAATAGAGTCCACATCCAGATTGCTGATTTTCTGCTAATCGGCAACTTGACCCGTTCCGACAGTCGATCTGACTCGATCGATATGATACGCCTGGGAATATTAGAGGCACCATCACTATCAAACACCGCGGCAGAATTTATTATAAATCACAAATCCTGTCACAAATATACCCATATTGTCACAAGTTCAGGTACGTGTCGAGTCACGGCAAGTTAGTCAAAAGTCAGCGCTTGCTTTCTTCCTCCAACCTCTTCCACATAAGCATTTCGTGATCCCGCGCTGTATGCGCCCAGCGCGCCGTTTTTGGTTTGGCTCTGGGGGACAAAGGCTGTCCGACCTTCTTGGTGGCGTTATATAAGTATCTATGTTCCTTGAGAAATATCCATGCTCTAAGATTGGCTTATCAGGTCAGTGATGCGACGGTACGTGAAACGTCTACGTGTCGATGAGTCTACAGGGTCACCATCGAGCGTAACTAGGACGTATTAGCCTCCTCCATCATTTCCGAGCTCCAGTTAGCACCCAACAGCCTTGTTTCTTTTCCAGGTTGCTGGCCTGCTGCGGCTTCTGGTATGAAAACGCTTGATTTGAACGAGGCCAGTGACTGACTGCGGGCCCCTCTTGATTTTCAGGCAGCTAAACGCAGGGACTTCCGGTGGTGTTTGGAATTACTTGTCCGAGTACTCCGATACTCGTAGACTGCACCACAAGGCTTGTGATGACGGTTCGCATACGATGGTCGGCAATGGCGTTTATTTGTTGGACTCGAGATCGCGTCTGTTTTCCTATTACAGGAAGGAGCCTTTATCATGTGCCGACCCCGTGACGCATTGTCCCTACCGCCCACTTCTTGCATGGCCAATTCAACCCCATTGATCTCCAAATGTGACTAAATACTCCTCGGGTGGGGGGCTCTTCTAGAATTCCGTTGATAGTTTTCTCGGATCTCTGACATGAGTACACATGCTGTGACTTTAGATTCTGCGGGGGCAGAAATTCTTTACCTTTGTTCTTTGCCATTGTTACTTACCTGCTACAGATCTACATCAGCTGTTGACACGTCCCTTGTAAATATCCCCAGACAGTCGCCAAGAGCCGTCAAGTTGCCTGGTAGCTTCACGTTTACACAGGTTTACACTCGTGCATTGTTCCTGTGGCTCTGCATGTGGATACACGAAAACTTGACGCCCTCGCGCCGCGAAACAAAGCAGTCACCCGCTATTTTGGACAATTTGGTCTTCTTTCATGTGGATGAAGCATACCCTCGTTCCCACTTCGGGCCACTATGCCTTGGCACTAGCAGGTCGATTTCAACCATTCAAGATTCGATAGGCCCATTCGAATTGTTTTTCAAACAGGCGGTATGATCCATCTCAATCGGAGGAAGTGACAATAGCCGCACAAAGCTAGCTTATCGATAGCGTCGCCGATCATCGTGCAAAACCAGCGTGTTCGTTGAAACTCAGGGGACTATCTGAGATACTAGTTTTGCAGCCCCAAGTTATGCTGGGGCCGCCGAGTAGGCGCCCCACACGTATACGATGTTTTGTTGGTCCAATCATACCCTCTGCCTTTTCGCTATCCCTCAAGGAGTTATCCTTGAGGTACTGTTATTAGCAGCTATTAGCATCAACTTTTCTGGATGAAGTTCCTCCTATTAGGACTGGGATGTAGTCTCGCGTTTTAGACTACCTTTTATTGCCCTATAACAACAGCGTTTCAACATATTTTACGCGTTTTTGCCTTCTCTCAAGATATGACTGTTAACATGTTACTTGGAACTTGTGCTGTGCACGTGATATAAGCAATCTTCAAATTCAGCGAATGGCTAAACCAGTGGTTTTTTGTTCCTTAGCTTCAGTAAAAGCGAGTTACAGTCCACCATCGCAGTAACTTATATCCATTTTCCATCAATGGCCCAAACATCCACGCCAAATCTGCCATTTTCAGCGACGCTTGATGTCCTTGCGGCCATAGTACCCAAGCCTCTTCAGAAACCACGTATAGGTATCGTGTGTGGATCAGGACTCAGCACTCTCGTGTCAAGTCTGAAAGATGTCCATGAGGTGCCGTATTCTTCGCTGGAAGGTTTCGGCAACAGCACTGGTGCGTATGTGGTCCTTATTTTGAGAAAAATCGATTAGCTGATCCCGCGATATCGCTGCTAGTCGCTGGGCAGAAAAGTATACTGGCTTTCGGCCTGATGGGCAAGGAGAATGTGCCAGTTGTAGCCATGCTTGGACGGGTAAGTGACTCGTGCTTTCTTTGCTCGAAGCCGTGTCGTGGCTAGATCCTGATATACAATTAGACAGTTTCACCCTTATGAAGGCCACGAACCTGCTACTGTGACTTATCCTATTAGAGTGATGGCGAGATTGGGAGTCAAGGATGTTATCAGTACGTAACCTTTTGTTCGATAGGTGAGTGGTGGACTGAGTTGTTTTTCTTCATTAGTTACCAATGCTGCAGGGTCACTAAACCCAGATATACCCATTGGAACGAGTATGGTCCATCAATCATTTGTCTATGCGCAAAGCACTCAGTGATATACTTTATTGCAGTCGTTGTGGTCAGGGACCACCTAGCTTTACCCAATCTCACCGGGCTTTGTCCGCTGTTTGGGCCACTGATCTCACCTCAATACCCGCGATTTCTTCCTCTTTCGGATGCATACTCTACTCGACTGCGTCGACTCGCGTTCTTATCGTCTCACCAGCTCGGGTTCGACCCTGCAGCACTCGGAGAAGGAACTTACGCCTGGGTTGCCGGTCCATGTTACGAGACTCCTGCTGAGGGGCGCTTCCTCAGGACTGCAGGTGCCGATGTTGTCGGTATGAGCACGGTCCCAGAGGTGGTTGCTGCAAGAGAGGAGGGATTGGAGGTGCTAGTATTGAGTTTGGTGACCAACATGGTGGTGATACCGGAGAAGTACCGGAGCATACGTGAGGAAGTTGAGGCTGAGGTTCGTTCTATTATATCCACGCTGTTTCTACTCGTGCTGATGGGCATTGTGCTGATAGCTGGCTGGTCATCCGATTGACATGCCCCCTAATGAGGTCGCCTCCCATGAAGAAGTATTGGCAGTTGGGAGGCAAAAAGCTGAGGCTATGAAGAACCTCGTAGAGCACATCGTTCAGCTTGTGCCGAAGAACTAGCTCTATGATATCCCTCGGAATTTGGAAAGGAAATATAGTGTAGATTAGACGGATTTTGTACCACGGAATGTATATGTTGTGTCTCTAAGTCCGAGTGACCTTGTTATTCGCTCTCACAGGCTCGGGTGTATATAAGAGAGCAGGCAGCATGAAGTTCTGGCCCTTCCCTCGCACTTGTCTTTCGCCTGTCAATGTCGATATGACATTCCTCAGACATCGGACTTGCTTTCCCTGCATGGCTGCATCGTGGACATGTTTCTGGTGAGAATATGTCGCTGTACGGTTCATATCGGCCGTCAGCTGGGCCGCCGACTGTTGGGTAAAATTGAGGAGCTTGAGGCAAAGGACACATTTGGGTTTTCTATCAAAAGCCTGTCACACGGATTGCTCCTTTTGTCCCCTTGCCTGTTTACCCGGTTACACGGTTGCCCGTATTAAGGCTCCTGCTGATATTCCTGCAACGCTCCCATAATTCTGTTCTTTGCCACGTAAATCGCTACACGACACTTTCTTTCGGTTTTCACGATGCAGAGGGCAACGCTTTTATCGTCTGCGAGACGTACGTGGGCTGCACGCGCCACTTCAACACATTCCCATTCACGAGGCTTTGCTTCCTCGATGAAATTACGTGAGTTTCCTGTCTTTCTGAGCTTGTATCAGTTACACCTGCGAACAATACGGAGGTTCCGAGTAGGCATAGCCTCCTATCTGATAACTTGGCGCTTTCTGCATTTTTTACTTTGTTTTTGAACAATTTTGCCAATGTTGACCCATGCAAACACAGAAACCGCAAAGATCGTCGTGTCAAAGCCAGTGGTAGAGCTCGATGGAGACGAGATGACCAGAATCATATGGAAGAAGATCCGAGAGGAGGTCAGTTTGTATGTTTCCGTCCCAGACGCATGCTTATTCACCCATTATCCCCTCTAGCTCATCTTGCCATATCTACAACTGGACATCAAATACTACGATCTGGGGCTGGAATACCGAGATCAGGTCGGTCTCATTTCTTGCGTATACGCTTAGTGCACTTAATGAACTTGCCATCAGACAAACGATCGAGTCACCGTAGAGGCGGCTAACGCAATTCTAGAGCACAAAGTTGGCATCAAGTGTGCTACTATCACTCCCGATGAGGCCCGAGTAGAAGAGTTCAAGCTCAAGGAGATGTGGAGGAGTCCAAATGGCACAGTTCGTCTCTCGTTGCTTTCAATTGTCTCGTCTCACGCTGATATACCATTGCACCAGATTCGCAATATCCTCGGCGGCACTGTTTTCCGTGAGCCTATCATTCTGCAACGGATTCCCAAGCCTGTTCCCGGATGGATAAACCCCATCGTTATCGGACGACACGCTTTCGGTGACCAGGTCAGCGTGTTTTTGTGACTGGGATAAACACGAAGGTTGACCCTTATCGTCGCGTTTAGTATCGTTCTACAGACTTTGTTGCACCAGGACCTGGAAAACTCCAGCTTGTCTACTCGCCAGCAGATGGCAGCCCAAAGACTACCATGGATGTCTATGATTTCAAAGGAAAGGGTGTGGCGATGAGCATGTACAACACTGATGAGGTATGGTTGGCGAAAATCCTTTTTCTGACAGTCCAGCTCACATCTTGGGGTGAATTGTGAATGGTAGTCTATCACTGGATTTGCGCACTCTTCCTTCAAGATGGCATTGCTGAAGAAGATGCCTTTGGTAAGTTGTTCAAGGTATCATAAACGTACTCACATCTCATGCAATATATCACAGTTCATGTCAACGAAGAACACCATTCTCAAGAAGTACGACGGTCGGTTCAAGGATATTTTCCAGGAGATCTACGAGGCGTACGTTTTCACTTTACTGCAATGCCATTCCGTACTCATTTAATTATAGCCAATACAAATCTTTGTTTGAGAAAGCCGGCATCTACTATGAGCACCGTCTCATCGACGACATGGTTGCACAAGCCATCAAGTCATCAGGCGGATTCGTCTGGGCAACGAAGAACTACGATGGTGACGTCCAGAGCGATATCCTCGCACAAGGTTTCGGCAGTCTCGGAATGATGACCAGCGAGCTGATCACTCCTGACGGAGAAGTCGTGGAGAGTGAAGCTGCACACGGTACGTCCCGACCACATCCCTTATCCTCCCACTTCCCCTCCGCCTCAGGTCGAGGGGTGCTCATATCTTTATTTTCTCTCACCAGGTACGGTCACGCGACACTACCGCGAGTACCAGAAGGGCAACGAGACGTCCACCAACCCCGTCGCTTCCATCTTTGCTTGGACACGCGGTCTGCTGCACCGTGCGAAGCTCGACGGGAACGAACCTCTGCGCGCGTTCTGCGTCGACCTCGAGAAGGCATGTGTGGAGGTGATCGATGAGGATGGCGTGATGACGAAGGACTTGGCGCTTGCCATCTATGGGAAGGGAATGAAGAGGGAACATTGGGTGATCACGGATGTGTACATGGATGCTGTCAACGTGAGTTCCGTCTCTTTCTCCTTCTTTGATGAAAGAACTGGCTTCACAGGTGGCTAATAATTTATTTTATTCGTTGATGCTATAGGCTAAGCTGCAGAAGAAGATTGCAGCGCGCACATCTGCCAAACTATAAAGCTCTCCGCGCCGACGGGCCGCCTGGAGCTTAGCGACGACTTTTCAAACTTTTATTTTCAGTATTTGGATTCGCACAGCACGACGACTATCGTACCTATCACAATCACTTTAGCTTCCGTTTTTGGATATTGCATAAACTGGCTGTAGGTTTTGGGGGCCTTCATGTGGGGGATGAGATGTTTATCTGTTGTCCTATAGTCCGAGGTGTATCGAGTATTATTTGGAGTTGCAAGTGCAAGGAGGCATGTATGGAGGGCTGGATTGTATGTGTTGTTCACGCTGTTGTTTCTGGTGTAATGCCGTTTGATTGCGATTGTACGTGTACTCTTGTTTTACGTACATGTATTCATGAATGAGAAGCTTTGACGGATATCAAGAAATATGGGGTTTACCCTACCTCACGTTCAAAACATTGTCCAAACTTAGTACACTCTTGGCGGATTTTAGGCTGCCATGATCAACTAGGAGCGCGTGAGTTGGTGTTGGTGTTGTAGCTCTTAATTGCCCGTCAGGAACCCTACACCAAGCTTGCATTGGTCCTTAGGACAGGTCGCCATGATAAATGAAAGCGCATGTGCTTCCAAGATACAATACATACATGAATACGAATAGTTATGCAGTGGAATAGTTATGCAGTGATGGAGTACACCCTAATCAATTTCCCTGCCATTACCACATCAGCCCCCTAAACATCACCGCATCATCATTTTTAATCCCTCAACCCACCTCCTCACCCCATCCTCATGAAGTCCCCTCTCCTCCTTGGATCTCAGCCTCAACCACGCAGTCACAAGGAATAACACCCACGCGAAACTGACTAGCCCCGCACATGCCTTCGCGAAGAACCTGCCCCTCTTTATCTCACCCGGAGTGACCGGCACTCCTATTGCGAGCGCGAGTGCAGCTTCTCCTCTTCCCGAAGCCACTGTGGTGCTGGCAGTGCGCGCGGATGAAGTTAAGAGAGGTCGTCTCTGTTCATCTTCATTTTCGTCTGCGACTGCATCTGCATCTACATCTACATCTACAAGGTCGAGATCAGGGTTGACGACAGAGAGTTTCGGCGGGCCTGCAAGCGCGTCAGCCGCCTTCTTACGCTGCCGATCGAGATATGTCAGGCCTAGGACGCTCATGAACTGAAAGATATTGAACAGGACGAATGAATTGAGGAGGAGCTGCGTCGAGCCTGTATTTCTTGGCTTGGCACTTGATGGATCCTTTGCAGCGCTTCCTCGCTTGCTGTCGAGGGCGAGGCCAGCGAAGGTCTGGAATATCGTTGATCCTGTTTGTTCGAGCTGTGAGATCGGGAGGTGAGATGCGAGATACACTGGATGAAACTATCATATATGAAAGAAGGAGGGGACATACGGCTTTGTGAGCTCCTAAAGTCGTGGAGACGTATCTGAGAGGGACGAGCTGGGGAACCATGACGACTAGTAGCACTATCCCACCCAAAATGTCAGTTTGTTATCTCAGTGAAGCAAAAATATAGGGGGAGGGGGTAATGAGACTATGCTCACAAGGTGAGAATCCAATACCAGAAGCGAACGATAGCACTGCCGGTGCCGGCGTTCCAGTCCATCTCGGAGGTAGTGCAAGCCAAGCGTAACAGAACATGGTGAGCATTGAGGACAAGGCGAAGAGGCGGAGAATAATTTGGCGGTATTTGAGGCGGTCGACCGCAAATCCGCACTAGTGGGTAGCAAGATCATATTCGTCATAAGGCCCACGAACTTGGTAGATGGGAAAGAACAGGAAAGTTGGGACGTACGAGTGGATAGAGTACCATGCTCCCGGCTAATAGGTACGAACCCTGCTTTCCTGCCTCCGACTCTGTTAGATCGTAGCGCCGCTGAAAGATATTTCTGTAAGACGCCCAGTTAGCGACACACAGCATCTTCTCAACTTTGTGAGCCAGAGATTGTTGGAATACGTACGCTGCGAGATGAGTAAAGGGATGCCATACGGTACCACAAAGGACGTTAACCCCCATATACCTATTTTTTGATTCACCATCAAATTGTTAGAATCCCAGATCACAACGAAGAAATAGCAAGGAGATACTCACGCCCAAAAAATATCGCCCAGGTTAGATACCTCCCTCAGCTTCACCCTCCGTTTCTCTGCTACCTCTTTCAGAGCCTTTGCCTCTGAGATGTCATATAACGAGCGCCTGTTCGCCTCCTGGTGAAGCTCAGCAGCTTCCAGCTCGGTCCCCGAGCTTTGGACAAGCCATCTGCTTGCCATGATATAAACCAGATTAACGAGGACAGAGAACGCGGCGAGGGCGGTGGAGGCATAGAAGGGTGCATGTCGACCGAAGCGCTCGGAGAGTGGGAAAGAGGTGCGCGCGGAGACGAAGGATGCGCATTTGCCTGCGACGAGCCCTAGAGCCATGGACATGCCGAGGCCGTGGGACTTGAAGAAACGGACGATGATAGTTTCTTGGACGACTGAGAGGGGACTCACACCGAGGCCGAAGATGAATAGCCCAAAGGCCATGAGGCGGACGTTTTCATTTACGTCGCCAAGTAGAAGGAGGGCCTGTCCTGTAGACGAGAGTTATAAATTAAGGGGGAGAAGAACGGAAAACCTACCGGTAAAGATGACGCCTGTAGCAAGTATGCTCGTATATGTCGTCCCGAGCTTGCTAGCGAGAACGCCGCCCACGAGAGGCGTCCATGTGCTGTTGAGACTAAAGGCCGATATGAGGAGACTGAACTCGGTGTTTGATGTACCCAGCTCTCTCTCAAGACGGGACTTGAGGGGCGCGAGCGTATATGATGCACTAACCAGGATGGTTATTAGTATTATCATCGTTATGAAATATGGTACCGTGATTTGAAGAGCGCATCCAAGGGTAGAGTCGAGGACGTACTAGTGGCTTCCAACGCTGAGCGAACACGCACAGAGGAGCGCGAGCGCCCGTATAAAGAATGCTCTTGTCGAGGACAAATTGTTAGTTACATCGACGTCGCCTTCGCCCCCTCGGCTCTGCGATTCTGGATGGTTGCCATTGTCCATGTCGTCGTCTGTGATTTCGTGGATATCGTTATTTTCGATGGTTGTATGCGGATGTCGTGAATCATGGCTGTATGACATTTGCAGTGCGGATGGAATGAGTGTTAGTGGGAAGAGGGCCTTTCATGTAACACATTATTATTTTTATCAGATAAGTCGGACTCGGATCGGATGGTGACGTAAGGCTATCACCCAAATCGAGTCTCCTCTCCTCTAATACGAAAGTATTCTGTCGCAGACCATGGCTTCAGAACGCAAGGGAGACGAGGGAGGCTAGAGGAGGCTGATGGAAGCAGCGTACTAGTACTTATCGAGTGCGTTGCCATCACCTTCCTCATAATCCCTCAATCATTCCTGGCACAATTTGACCTTCAACTTGCAGCCTGGCGTCAAGTGACAGAAATAGAAATGGAACACGAGGACTGAACAGCATCGCCACCATCGATAACGCTTTCTTCTCCCACCACCACCACCATACGCAACGACTTTACTTTTTATTTTCAAGAATGCCTCTTGAGCAAAATCCTACGCATGGCAATGCCGTGGCTAACGTGCAGACATTCAACGACGTTGCTGGGAATTAGCCCAAGACAACCAAAAATTCAAATACTACAAATGTCCATGCTTATTCTGGCTCTGGGCACGACGCACTTCTCGCAAAATTGAATCCGGTCAACTTAAATAGCAAATATGTACAACAATGTATGAAAGGAACAAGAGAAGACATTTTCAAGGACGTTCACCAATGGCTTAACGATCCCAAGGCAGAAAAAAACGTACTCTGGATCAAAGGTGGTCCTGTATGACGCTCCGTTTGCACTTTTATTCAAAGTGCGACAGCGAAATAGTTTTGTTGTGCGATATACAAGCAGGGCTACGCGAAAGAGAAAGGCTGCGAATACAGAAGGTGCGCGAAATGTGCGTAAGACGGATGGGTACCAAAAAACATCCAAGGTAGACTACGAAATATCTAAGGAAATCCACAAGCATCAGTATATTCAATACAATCACAGTATACCTTCTTAAATAGTAAGTAAACAATGTGCTTGGCACCAGAGTTTTGCTCGTTCGGCCCATATACCATCAGACAACGATACATATGTCCTTTGTACGTCGCCGACCAACTCTCAATACCTCAAACATAGGTTTGTCTTCTGAACCATCTTTCTCTTCTGGAAGCATCCCATAACCTTCAGGTATAACATCGCCTGTTACAATATCATGAAGCATAGAGAATTTTTTCTTTCCTGGTCAGAGTCTAGGAAAGGACTCATGTAAAGAGGAGTCTTGATTCCGTCGTGAAAAACATTGCGTTGAATCTCTTCTGCTGGATCTGCACACAGCGATTCTTCATCAGCAGCCCTCGTAGCATTGTTGTGGTAGCCACATACACCAAGTGTTGCTTGTCCGATTAAACGCAAGTCCTGAGAGAACCATGAATGGAGGAGCCATATAATAAAACTAAGTGAAACTCAGCCGCTGCCCGAGAGGCTATAGAAACGACTTTATTATTTACCTAAGTGAAACTACAATAGATGTTAGTTTAAGGTGATCTCTAATATATGTAATGTAACATACCTCAGCCGCTGCCCGAGAGGCTATAGAAACGACTGAGGTATTCCTATACTAAACCCCCTACTACTTATAGTTGGAGGTGCTACTCGCTACAGTATAATGACTCCTAGGAGAACAATGGTTACTCCATGGAGTGGTGGCTATGCTCCATGGAGAACAATGGCTGCTTTGGCAGAGACCGGGTTTATCCGGTTTTGTCACCATAGATGTTCGGATTTTTCATGATCAAGGTGGTGGTGATTTTCAAGATATGAGAAGAATGCTCTCCATCTACGTACAAATTGAGAGCCAGTTTCAACCCACATACACTCTATCCACGTGTTGTGAGTCAACCTGAAGATGGTGGTAAGTTAACTTAATGTAAAAAAGCCAAAAGCATGCAATGTACGTGCCCCATATGAAAGACGCCCAATTGGGCCCGTTCTTCATTACCAAGTAGGTGAAGCCAAATTTTACTGGTTTGATCTTGCATGAAGTTTTTGTCGTTTTATAGGACCTCGAGCAATGGCAAAGCTGATAAAATTGGATAATGACCAGACCAGGGATTGAACCTGGAACCTTCTGGATACATGCCAGCTGCTCTACCAATTGAGCTATATGGCCAAGGTTATACAATGTAGGATCTTAAACATGACATGCAACCACAGACACCTTACACAGAATAGCTGCTGCATACTGGGCTGGCTTACAAATCAGAGGTATTATCCTATGGAGTATTGGTATGTCAGAGTATATTCTAACAAAAGTGTCTGATTGTAAGGACTGGATGTGGAATGAAGCTCGAAACACGTCAACATCGTTGGAGCGAAGAATTCCAAGAGCGTTTTGATAGATTTTGTTTAGGACATCGTAAGCAAGTGCTAGATTTGATGTGAGCAGTGGATCTAATGTCGTGGACACAGGTGGATAATGATAACTTGAAGGGAGATTTGCTATCATATTGTGGTCCATCAGTGGTACACTACTCAGAACGCCAACAATATATTGATTCATACTCCACTACTCTCAACATTGTTCACTTACCCCCACGACTTCCCCATTGCTGATTGTTTCGTATAAACATGAATGCTACTACTCTGATGCACCATGAAAAATACTATTCAACCAAAACTACTGGGAATTTTGTTTATATAGTAAGATTTTACTCTGAAACTTATCATAATTTGTTTTGGGCTGACTGAATTTACAGCGGGTTGAAAATACGCTCTATCGTATAAGACCGGTGATCCTCATGAAGAACTTGATTGTTTTTACTAATATGTTTGCCTCAGGATTGGCGGGAGCGTTGGTGAAGGAAATGGATGGGTCAAGTGATGAGAATCCAATCATTCTTGAACAGCTTCCTTGCTGTCAATTTGACATCTTCCTTGCGGTTTACACTAGCAGGTGGGTGTATTTGCATATTCTCTCCTACTTTCTCCCCTGATACTTTGCTAGATACCATTCCCTTACCTTCACCAATAACAAAATGGTGGACCTGTTGTGCTTTAGTTCTAAGTATCTTTGTGTAGCTGCTCAAAACCTGGCCATTCACCATATTTCTACACAATGTTGGTCCTATTCCGACATCACTTTGGCCTCCATTGCGGTTCAGTATGGTGTTCGGACCTGGTTCAAACACGCCTTTGCCCATTTGGTCGAAGTTTGCCTAAGCCAGTTCACCCCAGCCAAACGCCGGTTACTAGGGCATCCTATTTTCATTGCCATAGCTACTCTCCATGAAATCATCTACGAACATCGTTGCATAGTTGCCTGCGAGCCTCCTGAACTTGAGGAACACGCTCTGGATTGTTCAAATCACGACAGGTGCACTTCAGATTGGGCTCAGGTATGGTGGAATAGAATGGGCCAATTTATACTTGATGGTCGCAATCCCTTGTCGTACAAAGAGGCCTCTCAGCGTTTTCAGAAGTTCAAATTTGGTTGGATGGTGGACGGATGTAAAAAGAAGATGTTTGAGGTGATCTGGTCCAATAAAGCATTTGGCATTACAAATGAGCTCATCAAGGAAACAGCAGTGTGTTTGGAGAAGGAGCACATCTTTGAGCCGTGTTTATCATCAGATGACGAATCCTTGGGAGTGGACGAGTAATATTGTGGTAATTAATACAATGTAAATAAAATTAGTATTTCTTTGGACTACTACAATTATGATGCCTCCGGCTGTTTGTTTGTACTGAATGCCCCCTCTTGAGATATGACCGGTGATTGCTAATATCTAGTTATAATATATATATATGTAAGTGCAACATGTACAAAATGCGAATTAAACAGTTGGCATACCTGGTGTACTCTCAAATTGTGCTTCTAATCCATTGTGATCCATTGTGACCGAGCAGGGGATGGGTGCACAGAGTGTATGGAACAGCTGCTCATTGGGCTATTGGGGATAACTCAGTTGAGTTTGTGGGAAATGTCTAATTTGAAGACCTTACATACTTTTTGTGAGCACCATGTGGCTTTTATCGAGTAAATTTCTATGTATACCATGTAAAAAGTATAGTAGGCTTTACAATCTAAAATACTGCAAGTTAATAATTAGTAAAGCAAATAGATAGAGGTGAAAAGGGGGGTTTAACTTACTGGGCTGGAACTCCCTCCTATCAAGTCCCTACTGGATGGCAATCTCCACTTCCTGATCCAATACCCTCACATCTACTCTTGGTGTTGGAACGTCGGGTGTCGGATGAACATTGATGTTGATCTGATGTCCCCACCACTGAGTGGGCATCAGACCCAGTCTGAACAAATCCAGAAGATTGGCTAGCGGTGAGGTCCTACAACAGAATGTTAAGAAAAAGGGAGGGGAAAACAAGGAAAACGAGAACCCACCACTACTGGCAGCGATAGCCTAATTCTGTGATCAAAAACACGTTTCATGTAGAACTATGAAGAGATTAGATTAGATTACATCAAAGTGTGAGCCACATGGTACTTACATAAGTACAAGACGAGCCAATAGCAAGTCCCACAACAAAAATGACGCAAGCTTTGCACACAGGAAATGACATATTGTGAGCCAAATTAGGCGAATAATGCGGCTAATTTTGTTATCTAGCAACCATATGGGGAAATTAAATCCCATGGCTAGTGGATCCCTCCAAAACCTGTACCGACAATAATGTGGAGCCCCAAACTAGGGTTGTTATGAGTGGGCAGTATGTGAGTCTCTCATCTCTTTCGTTTCTGTCTATGAGTCATGACTCCTTCGACTTCTATGGATCCTACCGAGGACAACTACTGCAAGGCACAGTCAAAGGATGGCTCACGCTGCCAGTGTGAGTTATATCTCCCTCCTCAGGATTCCGCACCTCCCCTTCAGTGTCAAGAATGTACGCATGGGCCCAGCAAGCACCCAAAAGCACCAACATCGACCTGGTCACAGAGATCAGCAATGCCTGCTGCGTCTGATGCCGGGTTATCTGATGTGCAAAAAGTTCGTGACATGTTTACACAAGCTGTGGCAACACTACCGGGTCAGCCTGCTGAACGTTGATTATCACTGAGAAGTGCTCAAAGGGATGTCACTGCCCATTGTTCTTCACAACCTGTGCCAAGGAAGCCATCCAACAAGAAGGATATTGATGAAATCAAAGTTGGCCAGTGGATCTTACTGGTCAATAGACTTGATGTAAGTACTGCCATCCCGTTCCAGATTATATGTGCTGACAATCACTCCTGTATCTTTCTCTCTAGCAAGCTGGCCGGCTTAGTAATGTAAAAGTGCCAGGCTGAATTGAGATTGATACTCTAGTATCACACGGATGCTCACATATTGAGGCAGAAGCAGCCAGACTCTCTTTTTCTAGAGAGTGGGGCCATAAAGAGGTCAACACCTACCTATGTGCAATCTTTCCAACACCATTTGGGTACATTGACAACCACACGAAAGGCAAGAGCATAAACACCACATGGGTGCTGATTAAGAAGGAAAATTGTAGGATTGCCATCGTCCCAAAGGATAGGCCATCTGGCCAGGATTTGTATCGTTACAGAGGCTCAGAAAAGTGCAGCGTAGCGAATGCTTGGATCATGATTGGCATGTTCTTATAGGACGCACTCAAGATATATATACTTAACTAATTCAACCATCACAGCTCTTCATCCAATAATTCCACGTGACAAGTTCAAAAGTTGGAACACGACTTCTGACTGTAACTTGGATGACTTATGGCAAATATATTTCCCAGAGGATGAAGATGAAGCACTCGAGGTGGACAAAGCTAGTCATGTTGCTGTACCAAGATGCGGCCATTATTCCTCGGGAAAGCGTAGTATGTCCCCTATTCAATGATAGACTAATCTACTGACTTCTATAAACGACTGACAGTTGCCTCTGCACCGTGTATCAAGCGGATCCATGCAGCGGATAGCAACAGCGAAGGACATATCAACATTGAACAAGCCCTGTGTTACAGGCTCAGAAACACTTCAAGAATGCTGACACTTCAGATGACATGGAGATTGTTGAAGAAGATATACATACAGTGGACTTGGAATTGAGGGAACCTTGTAAGGATTTATTATCATTGAAATATATCTACTTGAGTATTTCCAGTATTTTTGGCAACAGAAACCAAATCATTATTCCGGAGCTCTTCGCCATTCCTTCCGAATCCAGTCACTTGCCCTCCTTGTAGCCCTCCATTGACAAGGACTTCCAAATATGTGGAACAGGAAGACTGTCCTATTTGGTTGCAACAAGATCCCGCTCTTATCACAAACCCATTCAATGCTGGCTACCAGTTAACTGATGTCCTCAAGTGGCCCTTAGTCAGTTCATGAGTTGTTGTTGTTCAAGCAATCATTTTCTGTCATTTCAACTATATTGTTCATTCCTTTCTTATTGACTTACACTCTTTTATAATACTACATTTCTCAAAGTATATCCGGTCTTTTCTTCTCATTTACTCTACAATCTAATGGCTTTTGATGTTGAGCTTTTCCCCTCAAGTAAAATCCAGCCAAAAATGACTTCAAAAGGTTCAGGTTTACCTAGATAGTTTCAAGTACAAGGTAGAAGTAGATTCTAGCTAGAGTGGCTTGACTGGGCGTCATTTCGCGTGGGTCTTCATCTCTCGTTCACGCAGCTCCCCATCTTGCGCAAATTTTTATCTGTTTTTCGCACAGTCCACCATATTTTGCACCGAAAATTTCTCGCTGTCGCACTTTGAATAAAAGTGCAAACAGAGCGTCATAGTCCTGGTGCTGGAAAATCTGCAGTTGCATCCAGTCTTGTCTCATAGCTCAGGACTAAACATCAACTTGGTGGATCATTCTCTTTCTGTAGAGATCACAATGTGTTAAGCGACCCCACCTCTTTGTGGCGTTCTATAGTGCATGATCTCGCTCTTCATTGTCCTGGTTTAAAGGCCAGTATTATCAAAGCCCTGGACCGCGGTCTCATGAACCCACAGGTACCTGATATCCAAGATCACTTTGATCACCTCATCAAAGGCCCTTTGACCAGCCAACAAAGTGGAATAAAGGTTTTGTTGAGGGCTAGGTAATGTTTTATACTCTCCTATGTTTGACATCTGTTTTTTTAAAATCTTTGTTTGGTCACAGGCATCCCGTTGTTGTAGTGGATGCTTTGGATGAGTGTGGGGATGACTCACAGGTTGCACAACGCAGCATTTTGCTTGACACTCTGGCGCAATAGTCTTCCCTTCCCAAGAACATCAAGTTAATTGTGACCAGCCGAAACGAGCGCATGCCGAGTTCTTTCTCTGATATTTGCAAAGAAGTTGTTCTATCAACCGGTGATGAAGTGACACTTGCTGTGCGAAAAAATGTGTATTTGTTTTTTGCTAGCCGCTTCAAAACAATAAAAGAGGGATACCCTTCGCTACCCAAAGATTGGCTGGGACAACTGACAATTAGCCAAATGACAGATCATGCAGCAGGTCTTTTTATCTGGGCAGAAACTGTTATGTGTATTGTCACGCAAGGACACCCTGAAGAGCAGTTAGCGTTTATACTATCTGGTGATCCTATGACAGGGCAGGGCGGTGTCTACCACAGCTTTATAGTCAAATTGCTACTAGTGCTCTGGAAAGTATTCAGAGCAGCAACACCAGTTTGAAGGTGTTACAGTCTCTGCTGGGAGTAATAGTTTGTGCCAAAGTTCCACTAGAATGCGCACACCTCAAACATTTCATGGCCATCCCAACAACTGATGCAACAGTTGACTACACCATCGCATAGCTGAGCTTTGTGATATCAAGCAATGACGGACATACTTGCATTGGACATTTATCGTTCACAGAGTTCGTTGGCTCTGACCAGTGCCCCAAACCACTACGCATTGATGGCAACATGATGGTATAGCTGAAACAAGCTATGTTGCAGTCTTGCTTCCAGATAATGTTTGATGGCAACAACGGCCTGAAGTTTAATATCTGCCAATTGGAGACTTCCCATGTCCAAAACAGTGATATTGAAGACTTGGACAAGCTTATTGCACGATAAATTGGTGGTCATTTAAACTACTCTTGTTGGTATTGGGGAGGACACCTGGCAGATATAACAGACAAAATACATGTCCAAAGTTGGCTTATTGAGACGTTGCAGACATTTTTCAATAAGCACCTGTTGCACTGGTTGGAGGTTATGAGTCTAGCATACAATGTGCCAAGTGCTTTAGAGGTTTTGATTATTGCAGCATTGAAACTAAGGGTAAGTTTCACACTGCCTACTAGAAGCATTTCATAATACTCACTGGTTCATTGACAGGCTATCGCACCAACCCTGGGAGAGCTCTGCGAAGATGCACAGTGATTTATTGTTAATTTTGATGTTCCCATATCAGAAAGTATGCCTCATATCTATTTGTCTGCTTTTCCATTTGCACCAGAGCAGCCGCTTGTGTCAAAGTCATATTTGCCACATTTCAAGAACATACTTGCTATAGTGTCTGGAAAAGATGTAGCATGGCCTGCATTGCTGAATATCATGAGGGGTCACAAGGGTGCTTTTTCATCAGTTGCATACTCTCCAGATGGAAGCAAGATAGCTTCAGGCTCTCGGGATAGGACAGTGAGGATCTGGGGTGCTTCCACTGGCTACATGGTGGCTGGCCCATTTCAAGGCCATACTGATGAGGTCACATCTGTTGCATTCTCACAAAATGGAGCCAAGGTGGCATCAGGCTCTTGGGATAAAACAGTGAGGATTTGGGATGCTTTCACTGGTCACCTGGTGGCTGGCCCAATTATAGGCCACACTGGGGTTGTCACATCTGTTGTATTCTCATCAGATGGAGCAAAGGTGGCCTCAGGCTTTTGGGATAACACAGTGAGGGTTTGTGATGCTTCTACTGCTCACATGGTGGTTGGCCCCTTTCAAGATCACACCAACTTCGTCATGTCTGTTGCATTCTCATCAGATGGAGCCAAGGTGGCTTCAGGCTCTTTGGATAACACAGTGAGGATTTGGGATGCTTCCACTGCTCACTTAGTGGCTGATCCATTTAAAGGCCACACTGAGTGGGTCATTGTAAAAATCACAAACAAGTCTTGTTCTCAAATGTCTTCCTATCATATCAAGTAACTAGGATCTCTCACAGAATTTTTAAGCTCAAATCCACTGTCTACTGCTACTTGTGATCTAGTGTGGTCACAATAATTTTTGCTGCTACTACTGTTTATTGTTATTGTTGTTACTTTCCACTGTTGAAGTCACTGTCATCCCCTTCAATTAGAGTCCTTCTGAGCACTACAGTTTGTGCGCCAGGATCTTGCTATCACTGGGATATTTGTCATTTTTCATTGTTCTCAAACCTGCCTTGTGTTACGATAACACAATTTTCAGACCTTTAATCTTCATCCTCCTCTTTAACCTTTTACTGTAGTTTTCAACACACTGTGCCAGGCGGCACTTTCCCTTTTGTTCATACTCCTCTTTCTTGCGCCACGCTGCCTTTCTTCTTATTTTAGCTACAAAGTATCTCATGCAGTAGAGCTGGTCACACGGGCTGTGCCTATGACATCATCAGCCACTGCCTTCATCAACTGTATAGTACATATGTACAAACAAACCTGTAGTAGTATATATACCCCAATAGATCAAGGAGACTCCTCAGCAAGTCCTCCTGTTGTATACCCACAACTAACTCAGTCCTACCTAAGGGGTAACCACTCGCTCACCACTACCTTTATAGTTTGTTTTAGTGTGCACCACTCTTGGTTGTTACACCTTGTGCTACAAGTAGCAATGTAGTGCTCATCTTGATTTGTCCCAGTCCCCTATCCAGTTCAGTATCAAGCCCCTATCTTTGATCTATCCCTCCTCAAACACACATCACTTGGGTTTTGTTTTGAAGGATCATAAAGCTTACCACCCCACGAACAACCAGAGCACCTGTTACGGTACACAATTTTTGGACCTTTAAATTTCATTCTCCACTTGAACTTTCTTTTGTAGTTTTCACACACTGTGCTATGCGGCACTTTCCATTTTGTTCAAACTCCACTTTCTTGCATTGCACTGCTTTTCTTTATTCTTAGCTACAAGTCTCTCACGTAGTGGAGCTGGTCACACGGGCTGTGCTCTATGACATCATCAGCCATTGCCATTATCAACTGTATAGTACACATGTATAAATAGTCTGTAGATGTATATAAACCCCAATAGATCAAGGAAACTCCTCAGCAAGTCCTCCTGTTGTTTACCCACAACAAACTTGATCCTACCTTAAAGGGGATTATCCTCTCCTCCTCACCACTCTTTGCTTGTTCTTGTTGTGTGCCAGAGTATACAAACTTTGGTTGTTACAGCACCCACCATTATAGGAAGTCTAGCCCACAAACAAGTTCCATGGAATCTGGGAAGATTGTTTGTTAGTTTGTTTTGTGTGTGGTTTTCCAACAGGCAGTCTTCATCATCAACAATGCCATCACCACAATAGGGTGTTCAAGCTTTACAATGTTAGAATAGCTCAATGTCTTCAAAGGGAATACTATTGATCTCAATTGAGTTTTCTCTGGTCACTACTTGTCTTCCACAGATGACACACAGTCTCAGAAAATTGTTGAACTCTTTAAGCTCCATATCAGGCTTCCAAAAACCAAGAAGCGGATTTGATAATGTAGAGACTGGACAATTTCCATCTCATCATGGCTTGAAGTGCTTACTTTTGTTATGCCATAGAGAGACTGGGAGGTCAGATTGTATTGTCATGGCCTTTGCAAAGGTGTTTGGCCTTTTGCAGACACACAATATGGTGAATATCCTATTACGCTTGATATTCCCACATACACACAAAATAGGTCAGCAAAATAAGAATTCCTAATGTTGGAAATTGAGAAAGGAGTTTAAAAGGTATTCTGAACCCTTTGTACCAGAATTATTACTCAGGCATGTATTCCATGCCAGTATATGTTGTGCCTAAGCCTGGGGGGAAGTACTGTCTCTTTACCAATTCCAGTGCTGGTGCCTTCTCATTAAACTCTATGATTTCAAAGGATGACACTGCTGGTGTAAATCTCGACAATGTCCAGTGTAGGAATGTGATGCAGCTACAATGCTGCAATGATTATGAGCTCTCACCAATATGAACTGTGAGAAACAAATATTATATTAGTTTTCCCATATTTTCGGACTTTTCCAATAGTTTTATTTTTTTCATACCTCAGTCCATTGTACATTGAACTGAGGTGAGCATATCAATTTAGACTTACAGTAGAATAATCCTTTCTGATCATTCTCCATATACTTCTACTTATTTACTACAGTGAGAATATTGTAATCTACAGTATGTCATCCAGGACTTGAGGAACTGCTTACACCTCTTTCAAAAGCACTACAGTAACAAGGAACTTATAATCTGAAAGGGTGTTTTCTCAGTGATCTATGACACTATAACCAAGCTCCCCTGTGGAGGTCATTTGGCTGTATGTACTGACAATCACAACATCATCACCATGTTTAACTCCCTCAGCACCAAACCCCTCTACAACCAACTCCTTATCCATGTGATAGACATGTTTTTGGCTTGCAAAGTCAACTACCATGTCTTCCACATTGCTGGTGTATGCAATGTGGTTGCTAACCGCCTCTTATGTTAGGATATATCCAGCACTCTTGCGGCCATTCCAAATCTCCATGACATCCCTTTTCAACCCCCTCATCAGGTGATGGCCTGGGGGGCATCCAAAAAATGATTCCTTAGCCACCCCACTCACATTAGTCACTTCACAAGCCCTGGGCTGTTGACTGTCTTCTCCAGGAGCATCCTATCAATTTTGATGTTGTAAAGGGTTCACCCTGATCAGACCACAAGTGCACAGGACCTTGTTCTATTGCTGTAATAGCTAGTACAAAGGATGCAATGTAGTGGTAGTGATAAAGGTGATTATTCAGATAAGGTTCTGACATAACACCAGAAAAGCGGAAATGTGATGCGGCTGTAAGTATTAGGTAAGAACTAGTAAGGGTGCCACACCTTACAGGTGCCTGGGAAAGAACTGTAGAAATGAAGTTATGTAAGCAAACTTTGGAGCTTTTATCCCATGATTATATGTAACTGGCCTTTTGTGGCTATTACTATTTTTCACATGGTATTTACATATGTTTAGCTTTGTATGTACATTTTAGGACCTTTATTTGCCAAAGTATCCTTCTCCTGTGCTTGTTCCCATGCTCTGAAGGTCTGAATCTCCAACAAGAACTTAGTATAGTCCTGATGTCCAAACATCTATGTGTCATTCAACCTGCAGGGATCAACCAATAGATTCAGAAGAAAGTGCTGAAGACTAGAATGGAACGAGTCCACAGATGAGTCTGCAGATCCACAGGTCAGTCCACAGAGTCCACACTTTTGAGTCTAAGCTGAGTAGATATGTAGAGCTGAGAATATGACATGACTCCTAAGAGTCTGCATGTTGGGCCTATACGAGTGGAACGTCACAACAAGCTTTGCACTTGTTGGAAATATGGCTATACAGTTGGGGAATGTCTACAACACCCCTGAGGTGACTATGGCGACTTATTCAGATGAATTCTGAGTTACAGGGGATCCAAAGATGCTATTTCTTCCTTTTGGAAGTACAATTTTATAGTAGTACCACAAAGTAAATAGCAAAAAAAACCCAAGATATATGGGAACCGATGGGGGAAACAAAGGATAAACATCAGGAGGTGTCCATATGAAAATGTAAGAAAAAGCGAGCCATTTCCTGCTGGTCCAATGCCCAGACAGTCCCATACTATGAGGGACAACTCTCATAATGCTCAGGAGTCCATGTAGAGGCACACACGTGTGTGGAGTGCTGAGTTAGCTCCTTCATCCAATGGGTCCAAAAAGTGTGGACTCTGGTCTGCAGACTGTTAAGTATCGATGCACAGATTGTTGTAGAACTGGTTCTATAAGTCGGGAAATGAAGGGATTACAATGCCAGCCTCTATGTTAACTTTACAATGTGTGCTCTCATGTGGCATGTGTTTGTTTATTGTTATGAATTTAGCTGTTTTAAAACTTTGTGTACATACATCTTAAAGTTATTGTGATTTATTTTTTGTTATCATATATGCTGTTAGCAAAGCATCCAGTGTGAGGTAAATTTTCCTGGTTGTGTATGCTCTAGGATTTCTCCTCTCTAGAAACAATGTGGTCTGGGAGCCTGGAAAATCAGTTGATTAACAGTTGAAGATACATTCAAGGATTTTTCATGAAAAATGTAGCACTGAGCTTTGTCCGGATGATTATTACTCGATCCGAGACGCACTGTTAAGCTTGCCAAAGGATGTTTGAATAGCAGAAAGATTACACATGCCTCCTGTGCATGCACATGGTGAGGGGTTCGGATGCTTTGCAGTGGGTCACGCGACTTTGATGCCGCGAGCCAAGCAGCGAGCGCTAATGTGCATGTTTATCGCGTTTCTATTCGTTGTCGCTACCTGACATGTCGACCACGCATTTGACACCTGCACTGAGGCCAAGTACCGTTCCTCGTAGAAGAGAGAAATCGCGTCCAACGGCGCTGACGCTCTTCTGCTCGCCACCTAGCAGCACAGCGAGCACGGTCGTAGATTCGTCGCCTGCATTCACTGAAACGATGAATTCAGTTTTGGGTTCTCCATTTCTTACCACCCCATCCTCACCTTCGCCTTCTCTTTCTCTTCCTCTTAGTAAACCAGCTTCAGTAAGCGACAACCGCTCGTCTTCAACATCGTCTGGCTCGTGCATGACTAGCATTGGTAATTGCACACCCACGAACACACAACCCACAGCCCAAACAACCCCCGAGCCCATTTCACCCGTGCCCACTCTGGACTTTTCCATTATCAGCTCGCCTAGCACGCCCACCGTCTCGAGAAAACATCCTCCCCGCAGATACCTACGAAATGCTGGTGCAGCTCAATGCAAGTGCGCTTCCCAGGACGGGTTTGGGTACGGTCTCGTCACTGCGCGTAACTGCGACAGTCTGACTCCCCGTAGTCACTCTTACCACGTCGCAGACGATTATAACAGCGCTGGCGCTGGTTCAGCATTGCGGACGTATCTCTGTCCATACTGTACTCGTCATTCCACTCCTTTAAATCATTTACGCTCCAAATCCCGTGTGGGGATCTCCGCAAAGACTCGCATACACTCAAAGAAACCAAGCATTGCTAAACTGTGGCAGTCTATTTCCTCTCCTTCGTCAAAATACTCCCCATCAGTCTCTCCTTCGTCCCTCTCTCCCAATGGTAATGACCCGATAACAACACCTCTAAAGCGCAAAGCAAGATCATCTCCCCTTCGTATCTACAATGGAGCCTCTCACTCTTGCGATGAGACCGTCTGCTCCAGCCATTCCACTTCTCAATCGTATCAACAAAACCCAAGCACGAGCACACTTACATTCCACACACCACGCATATACCCCAAGCTACACTCATTCTATAGCCATAGCACATCATCAAAGTCGAAACTCCACATCCATTCTCGCCCCAACATACGCTCGAGGCAGGCTCATACAGATACTGAAATAGGTACAGTATTTGGTCTTGGCCTAGACTACTCGACACTCTCTCCGCTTGATGGCGAGGAGGGTGAGCTCGTTGTCGTGGACGATCGCGAAAGCCAGAGCGACATCGACATTGGTCGGTATAGAGATATGGGTCCAGGCAGGAGCGTCAACGTCGGCCATTACAGTGAAGGTCGATACTTATCGCGCTTCCGCGATGCCGGAGTTGTCAAAGGTGTCGCAGGTACATCTTTTCAGGCGCATATATCAAACTCAAGCTCAGGACGAGCGCGTCTCTTCGAAGCAGAAATCCGGTCTCGCTCACTTGACGCAGATGGAGTTGGCCAGCTGAAGACACCAGGGCAAATTGATCTTGAGCAAGGACCCGAGGACGGATTTTGTCATCGACATCGATCGAAGGATGCAGCAGTCTCAAGTTTATTGACCATCAACAGAAGTATCAGTACCGTTGTAAACGAGTCCACGAACTCATGGCGCAGGACATATACAGGTGAAGGAGGGAGCGGGAGTAATGCATGCGACTTGAATGTCGCAGACACGGACGTTGGTGCAGGCCCAGATATGAAGGCAACTGCTGGATGGAATGCTGCGGTCGGGTATGGCCCGTTCCTATCGTGGTCCAGTCCATCTACTTGGGGCCCCAGGAGTGTACGAGACAGTATGAGGTCGGATGGGTGCAGTAGATATGATAGATGTGGAGCAGATCCTGATCTTGATATGGATGTAGCATCGTTTATAAGCCGTGGATGGAGGGCGAAGATTGTGAGCGGGTTTGGTGAGTCTACGTTTATCAGTCGAGTTGAATGTTCGACCTGACTATCTCATTTCTTTTCCTGCCTATGCGCACAACTGTACCTACCCTGTTCTCCCTCCCATCTTTTCCGTTGCCACTTCACCATAGATATCCTTACTACCCTCCCACCGGAGTTATCTCTCCACATACTTTCATACCTCCCCCTTCCCGACCTTCTCTCCTGCGCGTTGGTGTGCAAGCATTGGGCTCGCCTCATTGAAGACAATGCCGTTTGGTGGGCTGTTTGGAGACGTGCTGAAAGTGGAGGCGAGGTCGAGGGCCAGATTAACAGCGAACGGGAAGGAGATACGACTTCGGGCAACTTACTTAGGGCAAGTCATGTAAGTGTCGGTACGGAAACCCTAAACCTGGATGGCGAAGAGCCAGCACGAGGACTTGCGCCGTGGTGGTGCGTGAATCCACGAGGGTGGGCGGTTGACCTTGCAAGAGCGAGCTGGTGTGCAAAGAGCGGTAGGAGCGTGTTGGTTCCCGGGTGGGAGGAGCGGATGCGTGAATGGAGGGAGAAAGATGTGCGGTATGGTGATATATGGGAGGATGGCGAAGACGGACTGAAGCATGGATATAGTCACGGGAGAGCACTTCGGTCTTTAAACCCAAGCCTCTCGGATGAAGGGACCTCGAAGTTTACTTTGGAGCCCCTGAACTCTTCGCCAGTTTCATCAGTCGTGCATGTACCCCATGTACGAGAAGTTCCATCTTCGGAGATACCGACACCCTACATCACACAGAGTCCACAGATAGCCCCACTGATGCTCGATTGGAAGCGAGTGTACAAGGCGCGTGCGCTCCTGGAACGGAGGTGGCGCGATCCAGAGGGAGAGCCGAAGGTGAGGAGGATCGAGGGACATACGGATAGGTGAGCCAATCGTGCTTTTGGTGTACTTCTTGTCAAGAAGCAGTCCTTATACCTCTCCCCCATTAGTGTCTACTGCCTTGATTTTGATTCTAAGCGCATTATCACCGGTTCGAGAGATACGACGATCAAAGTATGGGCTTTGAATAGCGGGAAGCTGCTCGGGAGCTTCGAAGGGCATAGAGGCAGTGTTTTATGTTTGAAGTTCGAGAGAGATTGGGATAGACATGGGGTTGACAGTGGGCGACATGAACGCAGCAGCGAACAGAAAGGAGAAGAACGGGAGGCTGATGGTGGAAGGGTTCGTGGATTTATGGTAAGCGGGAGTAGTGATTGCACAGTTTGCGTATGGGATTTGGTGTCCTTACCCCCTCGAAGGACCGGGAGACATCAGAATTCACGAAAGAACCGGTATAGGGAGCAGGATGGGACGGTCGGTAGTAGTGATGAGAGCAGTGATGACAACGTCGGTAACGGTGAACATGATAGACACAATAATGAGGGGAGCTTTATCCATAGGACGCATACTGGTGGTGGTGATGATATAACAGATGGAGAGGGCGAAGCGGGGGATGAGGTAGGAGAGGTCCGTGCGACAGTCAGAAAGGTACTGCGTGATCATTCTGGAGGCGTAGTTGATTTGAGGATGGATGACCAGTGGGTTGTCAGCTGGTATGTTCGGACTGAGTTTTATCAATATTTGAATAGCTGATTTTCGCCCTTGATCTAAGCGCCAAAGACGGTCTCATTAATGTGTACTGCCGGCGCACGCTCACACGATTCCGCGCGATACACGGCCATGAAGGGTCTGTGAATGCCGTTGGGCTCGAGCGAGGGAGGGTGGTAAGCGCAAGTAGGGATGGCACTATGATGCTCTGGGACATCGAAAGTGGGGAGAGGCTACGGTTATTTGAAGGTCATGAAAGAGGGATGGCATGTATCGAATTCAAGGTCAGTCCGAGTGCTTCTGCTATGTATAGCTTTAGTCTTCTTACTCTCTTCTCCCGGTCTCGTCATGATGATGAATATGCACAGGACGACCTGATTCTCTCTGGCTCGAACGACTGTACTGTCAAGCTATGGAGAGCGTCGACAGGCGAATGTCTGCACACATTTGTGGGTCACACACTTTTGGTCCGTGCCTTGTATTTCGAGCCGAGAAGTGGATATATTGTGAGTGCGAGCTACGATCGGTCGGTGAGGGTTTGGGAGTGGAAAGAGGGGGAAGGAGGTGGAAATGGCACGGGACGACCTGTAAGAGTGTTCAAGAACCTGCATGCGAGCCATATCTTTGATGTGCGGTTTGATGTGGGGAAGATTGTCAGGTGGGTGATTTCCTTAATCTATCTCGTCGCATCCTCCAAAAATTCCGCACCTTGGCTCTGCCTCCTCTTATTATGAAAGTATACGCTGACGTTTGTTCTTCTTGCCGCCGCCCATCTCTATCTCCCGAATTGACAAATCAACAACGAATTTCCCCCGTCTCAACGAAAATACTTCTCGTAGCACGTCACATGATCAGAGGATTGTCGTGTTGGATTTCACGTATGGCATAGACGGCGCCGAGCTTTTTGTTTGATTTCTTGGGCCTTCGATCTGTTTTGATTTTGGCGGTCGTGGTATCTCGTCACTGGTATCGATTCGCTATAGGACTTAATCATGCACTTGAGGTGCAATGCATCACATTCAATTTATTCATTACATTTGTTCATATCCATCCATTCATTCATTTTGTGCAGTATGCATCATATACGATATACCAACAAGGACTTCTTCATCTCATATCAGGACTAGTGGGCTCATTCAGCGGTCAATTTTGCTATCTGTGTACTTGTACAACATCTCCTTTAGTACTATCTCTCGGATCCCTGTTCGTTCTCTACAATGTGATATGTTTACATTACCAAGTCGGCATCATCATTTGCTAACGTCCGGATATACATCGAATCGTCTCTGGGTGGTCACTGGTATGCCTTGTCTTGCGTCGTGGAGTGGCTTGGGATCTTCGGATTTTTACGTGAATTCGGACTGAAAACACCGTAGGTTACAGACACTCACCAATATGTGTGTGTAATATAGTTTCACCTTCTTCAGCTTCGACGAGGACCGTACCACTGATGATAATTGGATGAATCCCAGCTGAAAGACAAGAAATAAGGGAGGAACGTACTAAGGATCAACCACCATCGAATGGCCCCACTATCATTCGAGGTTAGTCATAAGACGAATAGGGAGGAGAATGATACAGACAGCATGATACCCAGCACTCATATCTCGGGCTGGACTACACATTGAGAAGAATACTTGATTATCCACGGCACTATCAAAGGGGTGGTTAATGGATTGGCCAGATGAGAGGGGCTCGAGGGAGTAGGTACCGTGCTTGTTGTAGAAGCTTCCAGTGCATAGGTCCTGTTGTGAGATTGAACGCTCCAGGATAGATCATCACGTGGCAGCCTGCATGTATGGAGCACATCAGCATGCAGTCCGCCCTTGACCCAAAGACAAAGATTAGCGCATCGAACCTTGCCGTGCTGCGATCATGGATAGCTCGGGGAATCGTACGTCATAGCAAATACCCAGACCGACACGAGCGAAGTCTTGGGGCCTTGCGTTAGGGGGAGAACGTTTCAGAGGGTGGGATGAATACCTGTATCGAAAAAGTTTGTTGTGTTCCCTCCGGTCAATGTTTCGCTTTCCTGCATGATGTGCTAAGATTATGCATCTTGGTGATTTACGCTTCACCCTACGTACTTTGAATGTGATTTTGCCTGGAATATCAATATCGAATAGATGCACCTTACGGTGCATCGCGACCAATTTGCCTACCGTTCGCAAGACATGAGCGCATGAGTGAGGAAGCGATAAACCAACAAGGCGTGATTTACCTTGGGGGGAGTAGACGGTGCAAGTGTTGTAGAACTTGTCGTCAGAAGGATCGCGTTCAGGGATAGAGCCTTGCTAACTGTGAGCCTCGATCATCTTATCAATGGCGGCAGGGGAAGAACAAGACCTCCAACCACCCAAACACCGGTTTCTTTTGCAGCGTCAGAGAGCATCTTGACGCTCTCACTTGGGCTGCTCGCTACATCGTATGGCTTGTCATGGCGAAAGCCGATGGTCTCGGCGTATACGGGAAAGTGAGCGTGGCCGTACGGCGAGTTGAAGCATTCCTTGCATGTGATAAGGGGTGGGTGCGATGGGCGCTATAGGAGGGGCGAGAAAGAGGACATACGGGTAACACGATCAGGTCTGGTTTTACTCCCGAGTTTCCGTTGGCAGCATTGAGGATCATCTCGCGAGCATGCTTGAGGTTCTCAGATTTGTTGGGGCCGACGCCTCCAAGCTGGATCAAGGCGAGGTTGAAGGGCTTGAACGCCGGGGCTGAAGCGAGGGACGACATGGAGCGGAACGTTGGCGACGACGTCGACGAGAAAGATGGGTGTGATAAAGGGCGGCGCAGGGACGAAAGAAGAGATGCAATGAGAGACATGTTCCGCGCGTGGATAACAGTGGAATCACCGCGATAATTACGCGGCACTCGATCGGATTGATTGCCACTCCCCGTGCTTGTAATACTACTGCTTGTACTGTATGATAGTCATACTTATGACATCTGGACCTTTGGAAATGTCCGTGACTACAGATCCCACAAAAAAAACATATTTCAAGAAAATATCACATTATTCCGTTCCCGCACAGCGCCTTAAGTTATGCACGTTACCAATCCCACTTCTGGTGTATATCCTTTGTCCCCAACCAAAATTCCTCTGGCACACTTTGAATAAAAGTGCAAAATATTGTGTTGAGAACGAAAGCTCGCGCGTTAATCTGCAAAGGGATCTTCGTTTACTACCACCTTGCCCTTCCCACTCCAATTCGCTGATGGCCCAGGTGCAGTATATCGATTGGGCTCTTCGTCACTATCATAGTCGCTAAAGTCAGATAAGCTTCCCCTGTTCTTGTCCCACTCTTCCTCGCCCGACACTGCACGACTCGACGACGGCAAAAGGGGCGGAGGCAGGCCGCGTTGCTCGGTCCCCAATGCTCCGAAGGATAAATCCTGCAGATCGGGGTGGATGGGAGACGGAGCACCGTATTCGTCTTCGTCGTCTTCATAGTTCTGCTTTGCGCGGTCAACTGCCTCACGCTGGCGGTCTTGTAAGCCACTGGCTCCAACTGGTCTGTGTGGGCCGATATGAGTTCCAGCTAACGCAGCTTGCATATCGGCGGTAGGATCTTGGGAAGTAGGAGCAGCCGAGAGCTTGAGGTGTAATGGACGAATGAGAGGAACGAAGGGTTTACTGCAAGTTTGAAGCTCACTTTTTCATACATTTCGATAGCTGTAATCATGCGCTCGTTAGTTTCTAGGAGGGTGCCGATAACATCTTCGTTTTCAACGAGCTTAGTTACCATCAGCTGTGAGTAATATAGCAGATGAACTAAAAGGGATTACCTGGATGTAGCGCACTATAGGCTTACGAGCTTGCCTTACGTTTGCAACACATTCTTGGACACGCTGATTGGTTGCCACACTCTCCTTTTCTGCATTGACGAGTTTGATCGCATTGACGAGATTATTCGTGGCCTGGCTTGCGTTGGCTATGGTCGTTAATATCTGCGGTTTTTCCTGTGGAATATGTGTGTCGATGACAGTGAGAGAGAGAGAGAAGAAGGGAGTGCTAACTGCTTCGAAATTGAGAGGGGCCCTATTCTTTCTCCTCTTTGCGTCTTTCTCTGCCTTTCTGATCTTCTCCTTTGCTTCTTCCTTGTCTTGTCTAGCCTTCTTTTTGGCAAGTTCTTTCTCCTCCTTCTCCTTCCTCCTCTTTTCGAAATCAGAGGACGTAGCAAGATCACCACCTTGGAGACCCAAGAGATTGTCTATCTCTGCATTGGTTGGTCTATTTTGCAAGCGGCGCTCCTGAGGACGACACTGCCTGTACAAGCTTGAGACGGAAGCCATGGAGGGGTCGTTCTTGAACTGGGACTGCCAGGAAGCGAGAACGGCAATAAGCTTCTTCTTTACTCTGGCATCGGTGGAGTGATCGGAGGCGAGGTGCCTGATGGCATCGATGAGCTGAGGATCCGCAAAGGTTGCTGCAAGATAAACGGTCATCGGTGCATGACTGAGAGGCAGATGGGCAAAGATAGATACACTGGAACTTGTGACTGCAGTTCTCTACGAGAGCGTGTAGAATCTAGTACGCCCAAGCGATAAGAGCAGGAAGGGTGGAGAAGGAAGGTGGACATACGACGATTGCACGATATTGACGGTGGGCATCGCCGTGCTTCAGTTTCTTTCTGATCGCTCTGGAGGCTTCAGCTGTTCTGGAGGGAGGGGTGGGTCACGGGGCAGATCATGTGAGGAGAGAGCATACCCTGTTGGCTGGAGTTCGATGGAGTGCACAATCTCTGGGATGCTGGGGAGAGTGTGAGCGTAGCATGTGACTTTGTGAGGAAAACTTGCCCGTCGTAGGCCTCGTCGTCGTAGGCAGCCGACGTCAGGATTTCGACCCAATCTGTGATCGAGGACTGCAGCGAGAATTGGATCGCAATCTTAGCTAATCATCGTGCTCGACGTACGTGTGGTTTGTCGCGGTTCAGCGCAGAAATCGCAGACTTGATGGCAGACATGGATCGATGTCGCTCACACCAGCACTCCGCTTGCCTCACTCGCCCTTTATGGAAGGTCAACTGCCTTTTCAGGACCTGACGCTTCCACCGCATATATTGACGTCACCCATAAATCGACCATATAACAACCATGCCACCCCTCTCTGCATTCTGTCGCACTCACTCCATCTCACCATGCCTGCAACCACTCGCAGAGAAACACCAAGGACATCCAAACCTCCCAGCGCTACAAAGCAGAAGACCACCCCGCACCCAGACCAACAACATGACGAGAAGACCGAGATCGAATCACACCCAAAAGTAGGTGAGAAGCGAGAAGCTGATAACGACGAAGGTGGAGCAGAAGAACCTCCCTCTAAAAAAGCAAAATCCCATGAAGATGATGCGATTGACTACTCATTCCAAGAAGGTCAGCAAAATCACATGGAGCGTGCATGGACTGAAACTGAACTTGAACTACAGGTGTCATTGAGAGAGGTCACATTTATTTCTTCTACCGTCCAAAAGTTCAACACGAAGAAGCACATTCGTTGGACCACGTTAAAAATATGCACATACTTCTTGTCCCTCGTCCTCCAGTGTTCAGCGCTTATGACCCACAAGTTGACAAGGTGAACGATAAAGTCGTCATAGAACAGGAGGGCAACCAGGAAATGAATTTAATATTGGAAGGCGCAGACGCACTACCCGCTCCGGAATCTCGGGGTGTATCGAAAAAGACTTTTCGACTCATCACGATTGGAAAGAAGAAGTTGCCTAATCCAGAGGGAAGTGGTCGAAAGGATACTTTCTGGGCAGTAGTCACCACCGTAGGAGACGATCTTCACAGTCTCGAATCTGGCTTGGGAGAAAAAACATACGAAACTAAAACAAGAGGTTCGTTGTCCATATGCCTATTCGTGAGACCCTGTTTAGACTGTTGATCAGGGACGAGGCATGAAGAGCCTGTACGTCTTGCCGGGCGTGGGGCTTATGCTATTGCAAATCAAAGTTCCACGACCCCGTCTTCGCGAGAAACTCATCTTGGATATCATCTCTCACATCCTAACGAGCTTGGCGATGTACAAAACGCTCTTGGCATTCACCTTGCTTCTTCTTTCGTTTTACAGGTCAAGAATCCTTTAGCACCCGCCACAGGGCCGCAGCGCATTGGATTGCCTAAGGGGCGACGTGCAGAATATTCCTCGAGCATTATGGATCAGGTGTTTGGAAAGGGCACGCGGGGCCGCCAGTCGTACGGTCTAAGATTTAGCGCGTGCAATCACATAGATCTACTCAACCACAAGGGAGCTGAGCTACTTTTGATTGCCGCTCGTACAGGGGCCAGTGGTAACGATCAAAGTTTGGGTGAAGGACGAGGCGAAGGTTGGTGACATAAACGCCTTGTGGAAACAGATAATTACGGTCCTCTTTACAGCATTGCAGGAGGCGGAGGAAAATGAAGGGAAAGAACCCGTCGAAGATGTCTTCAAGGAACTAGCAATGGATAAGGATGTCTTTCCCGCTGAACCACTTCAAGGAGAATGGATCTAGCTGCCCGTGAACGACATAATCCGTAACGTACAAGTACCTATCGATATTTATCACTTTTCATAGCATACAACGAAGAATGTGCCAACTGTATATATGCATATGTATTCATCTAAATGTCTAAGACTTACGCACCTATAACATCCTAACTTTGATCTGAAATGATGACAGAAACTCCGTTGACCCCTAGGAATCGCCTCCTCCAATGTCAGGTAGATCTGGTATCAATGAATTGTTTGTATGTGTTGAAAGAGTCGAAGGTAGCATCAATTGGCATGATCAAAGTATCAAATGGAGAAACAGTGCTAGTTGTTGGGGCACCATCAGACGAGCTGTCAGTATCAGATGGAGTGAAAAATACGTCGAGCGCATTCGGGTCGGACGATATGGTGGAACCATTTTGAGACGTCGCTGCAGCGAAAGGAGCAATGGAACGGACTTCAGGGACACCAACGGACCGCTTGGTCCCTTGCCGAAGCACAACTGGCGAAAAAATGACCGGTGCATCGTTGGGGTTGGGAAAGTAGTGAAGTCCCCGCGTGATTTTACTTTCCGGTACTTGATGACTATCATAAGACCCGTCACCGAGCACTCTCTCAAAGTCTTAAACAAAAAAACAAAAACTTACTCGTTCCGAAGGTGTAATAACATCTCAGCCTTCCTCATCGCATCACCAACAGAACGCTGGCACAATTTGCATATGTAGCTGATAGCATTGTCGTCAAACGCCACCAGCTTTTTTTCCATGACTCGTACGATAAGTTCATCAACACCGCGAATCGGCGTGAAATCTGCTGATTTTGTCGAGTAACATCCATATATGCTTTTTCCGTGAGTCATGATCGCGTGATAAATCTAAGAAAGAGGATCAACACAATTCGATACAAATTGGAGTACGAGTGGCTTACAGCCGTACGCCACGCCATACCTGTAGCTCGACGTTTATCGACCAGGCAGGCGTTGCACCGAAGTTTTGGATCTAATCTGTTCATATCATCGACGGTGGTAACCGCGGGATCCATGCCACATATGCGGATGATTTCTGCAGCAACGGAAACATGCCTGACCACCGCTGGACCGTATTCGTTGAGTTTAGCAGACCACGGACGGCCTGCCATCGTCTCATGGGCGACTGATTCTGCATTGGGGGTAAAATGGGCATGATAAAACCGGGGAGGTTCTACGAAGCCTCGGAAGGCCAATACCTCGGGATAAAATAGCATGCTATGTGAAGCCAAGGGATTGAAGTTTGCGGGAAAGAAGAACACAGTGCTAGCAAGATGAAGGCGCGACGAAATTGACGAGTCATCGTCTGTGCCTGCTGCTGTGAGAGAGGGAGGGCCCATACAGACGGAGACAAGTTCCCTATCGACCTTTCGTCGCCAGTTAGGTATCAGATTTGGCAATTGGACAAGCGCTGAAGAGAAGCTGCTGGCAGTGACGGCTACATCAGGAGGAGACTTGATGATATCTTCGAATAGTTTGAACGCAGCTACGTCCGCGACATGGGGCATGAGCTCACACGGTCCATCCATCTGAGGACTCCTGCGCAAATAGGCTTTATATTCTTCCATCAGAATGCGACGACGTGAGGAATATACGGTCTCTTCGAGCCGAACTTCTCTCAGGTTATTCATCCACTCATTTAAGGGCTTGCTGATCATACTAAGAGCTGTGCACATTAGAGTGGTCATTTCAATGGTCAAATCGCTCGTGAGTATGGAGAAGCTGACCTCTGGGTGTGAGCGGCTTGGGCGTGTTTATGACGGGAAGCTGTGAAATTATATCCCATGAGAAGTATTCAACCTCGAGTTCCCATCCATGTCCTCTCATCCAAGATCGAATTCTAGTGGATTAAAGAGATGCGGCCAGTTAAAACAACGATTTCCTTTTTCGAATATTACACGAACCCATTTTCTCGTGCCATCATCATGTCTTCAACCTGCCGATAACGGATAGGTTGATACCAAACTTCACATAGTGTGGCGTGCTTTCACAAAGAGGAAGTTAAAGTGCACACAATGGATGTAAATAAAAGCAACTGACCTCCTGAATTTGAAGCGTAGCAAGTTGCTGTTCTTGCAAAAATGCTTCAACATCCTTGAAACGCATGTCCTGTATCTTTTCTTTCAGAAGATTCACGTGAGAAGTGTGATAATTATTCTCTGATTTTTATTTTAGTGCGGTGCAATGGAAAATAGATAATCAAACCTACTGTATTTTCCCTCTCGTACCATAGGCAAACATGGAGAATTACCTATAAGCTTATTGATAATATCAGGTAGTCCACGTTTATTTATTGTGCTGCGATCATGTCAATAGTGGCTATAAGCTGCATAAAAATTGAGACAGTACCACAGTTTTACACAAGACGAACAATATCTGGCACGGAACTGCCAAAAGAGAAGCTTTCCTTCCTTTCCACAATTCTTTTTCCTTGAGAATGAGTATATGTTCTCAACTGAATAGAATGATAGTTACATGGCAGTAAAAACCAAAGGCGAGGTTAGCATATCGTTGTTCGCTCAAATCTGAAGGGCAGTCTGGCATCCCTTCTACCTGGAGGCGGGCTGCTTTCCATACGAAGGCATACGCTTTCGACATCAAGAGCGAGTGGAATGACTTTGATGTACGAGTAAGGTTAAGGAGATCCAACGGATGCAAAAAGGTACAAAGCTATAAACGACTTAGGAGCAGAAACGACACCAGAAGCAGCGAGCACTTGCATGAATTATAACGTCAAGATTTAGTGCAGACAACAAGTCTTTCGACTTGAGGTAATTTTGTGGTGATATCCTGTCTGTCCCAACGCCTAAACCTTTCTGAGCTCGACGCTTCAGAGGTGGACGACTGCATGTGGGTGATGAGTGTGTGGGTGTGGACGAAACGATCGGCACATGATGCATCTCTGCTCCAGCAATTATGCAGGTGGAATAAGATTCTGATTCTAATGGCAGGGTGGTGCCCAAGGGGAGTAACTTGATGTTCCATGGTCATGGTTCGCAACGAATTAAAGGCCTTCGTGTCGGAACTTCAAATCAACAGTATAGTTTTGGCCGAAAGCGGCAGATCGCACCGAGGCAGTCTGAGTAGGTGCTTTCAATTCCAGCGACTGTCAGAGGCACTCAGATCGCTGTGGAAGAGAACCGGCCTCGCGGCACACTGTTCAGGCCAACCAACGTCGGCAGAGCAACAACGGCATTGGAACAGGATAAACCACATTTCTTCGGCATCGGCATCTCTTGGGACATCTTCCTCCCATCCACTTGCAGTAGTGTTGCCTGCAATGCTCCCTCACTTTCACTTCTTAGAGATTCTACGCACGTGCCTCTTTTCTTCTGATGAGAACCGCTCTCCTGTGAACTTCAGGTCAAGAACTTTTTTTTTGCTATCATTTGCTCGAACCTACAGTTGCCTACTATGCCACACCTCATGTATGTCTTTCGTGGGGTTAAAATGGCCTTCGTGTTGCCGAAGGTGCGTGATACCAGACTGTTTGCGGGAGTAGATGTAGCCGAAAAGTACAGAAGTTGCCGCAACGCGTTGCGCCTAAAAAGAAAGTTGAAGCTTGGGAGAGCAAATGTGGTCTTCGAATTGTCTCGCTCTTCATTGTCTTAACTAGCATTGGAGATCGCTACTGGAAAATCTGTTCATTTGAATGGAATAAGTAGTACAATGTCATAGATGCATATGCAACGTGTGGGAACACGAAGGCAACAAGGAGCCAGAACATGACATACGGTGCCAGTCCTAAGAGCAATGGAGCAGAGAAGATATTTGTTGTTCAAGTGATATCAATTTTGGTCTTCCGGCAGTGAAAAAAACTCCGATCAGTCTGAATCGCTGTTATCTCCAGCACTGTGGATATTGTTGTGAGCGGGAACGTTAAGAAAATGAGGCAACGTCATGTGAGTGTTTGGTGGTGGTGGTGCAAATATCTGAGAAGTCGGAACAGAGAAGTTCTGTAGGGTATTAGAAGTGCTGGCAAGTGAATAAATGGTGCCTGATGGGACTGTATATATATTCAATGATATGAAACCAATTGACGCAGTTAACTTACTTTGTGACATTGCGGCGAGAATAGAAGCAGCTGTGGGACCTGACTTGATTCGCCTGACTGTTGTCGAAGAGTTGAGCACCACAGGTGAAACAATGATGGGAGCGACGTTGGAGTCAGGGCCGTAGTGCAGGCCCTGCTTGAGTTGCTGTTGGGGTATCCCATGACTGTCATGTAGCCGATTACTGGGTGCTCCAACATTGAAAGAAAATACTTACTCGTTTTGAACGTGAGAAAACATGTTAGCTTTCTTCATCGCATCGCCAACAGAACGCCGACATAGATAGCATATATAAAAAATGGCATTATCATCGAAAACCTCCAACTTGCCCTCCATGAGCCGCACGCGGAGTTCGTCTTCACCTTGGACCAGGGTAAAATGGGGCGAGGAACTTGAGTTCCCATACATGTTAGGTCCATGAGTCGTGATAGCATGATAAATCTGAAGATAGGTTCAGCAAAGTATGGTGAAGTTTAAAGACCAACCCCTACAGCCGTACGCCATGTCATAACGACCGTTTGATGTTTAGAGACAATACAAATGTCGCATCGCAGCCTCGGATCTAATCTATTCATATCATTGACGGTTGCAGTGCTTGGATCCATACCACAAGCATGGATAATACTTGCAGCTTCTGAGAAATATTTGACCGTAGATGGACGACGACCACTGCGACAGACAGACCACGGATGGCCTCCCATTATCTTTTGAGCAATAGAGGTAGCGTTGGGGGTATGGTTAAAATGAGAAAAGCGACAAGGCTCGATGAAAGTTCGAAATCGCAGTATGTCGGGGTATAGCAACATATGTCGTGGACTCCGTGAACTGAAGAAATTTACGTCGTCATGAAAGGCAAAAACACTAACAGCAAGACGTAAGCGTGACAATATACTTGAATATTCTTCTGCAGGAGCTGGGGGTAGATATGGAGATCGCAAATTTATGCAAGTATCTACAAGATCTCTGTCAATCTTTTGACGCCAGTTCGATACCAAAGTCGGTAGTTGGGGGAATGCTGCGAGAAAGGTACTCGCGTTAACAACCACGTCACTAGGAGATTTGATGATATCGTCGAACGGCTTGAACGCAGCTACGTCCGCGACATGAGGCATGAGCTCGCACGAGTCACCAGCCTGCGGACTCATTCGCAAGTATACTTTATATGTCTCCATTAGAATGCGGCGCCGAGGAGAGTAGACGGTTTCCTCCAATCTAATGTTTCTTAAATTATCCATCCATTCGTTAAGAGGCTTGCTGATTGTGCCGAGAGCTACATGCATATAGCACGTGTTAGCTCTCGTTTAACCTCGAAGTAATATATTAAACCCTTACCTCGTGGCGTTAGTAACTTGGGTGCGCTGATAATGGGAAGTTTCGCGATAAAATCCCACGTAAAATAGTTTACTTCTGCTTCCCAGCCATGCTCAATCATCCAGGATCGAATACTAACGGGAACGAATGTGAAATTTAATAAAATGCCAGTAGCATCATATTCGAGTTGTGGACGAACCCGTTTTCCCTGGCAGCAGTCATGTCCGCAACTTGTTGATCGCGGATAGACTGGTACCAAAATTCACAAAGCTTTGCGTGCTGGAGCAAGAGGTTAACAGTTATAAGAGTAGTATTCCAAATGATATCACCAACCTCCTCAATGGAACGAGTGGCCTGTTGTTGTTCTTTCAGAAATGCGTCAATTTCACTCACTCGCTTGTCCTGTATTTTCTCATTCAAAGAAGTTACATCTGAGACGTGGTAAACCTTCTCTAACGTTTCGTTGATACAAATCTATACACAGTACATTCAACGGGCACTTACTGGATTTGCCCTCTTGTACCATAGGCAAGCATGGAGAATCCCCTATCAGTCTGCAGATGATATCGGGTAGCCCCCGTTTGCTCGTTGTGCTGTTAGAGTGTAAACTATAGGTGTATACAGAGTTGAAGCTGTAAAACATTACCATATCTTTACACAGGATGTGCAGTATCTCGCACGAAATTGCCAAAACAGACACTGGCCCACTTTCCCACAGTTCTGCACTATCAGGATTAGCATTTTTGGGTGCAAATTACCACAACATATATTACTTACCTGGCAGTAAAGGCCAAACGCCAAATTTGCATACTGTGGTTCGTTTAGATCTGGGGGGCATTGTGGCATGTCTTCCACTTGCAAGCGGGAGAACTTCCATATGAAGGCAGATGATTTTGACATCAAAAGCTGACGAAAAGGCTTTGATGTACGAGCGAGATTAAGAAGGTCCATTGGATGCAAAAAAGTACAAAGCTACACACGTAGTAAATTAGTTTAACAAAATCAAAGACATAGAAAACACTTGCATGGAATATAACGTCGAAATTCAACGCCGAAAACGAATCCCTTGACTTGTTGACGTTGGATAGTTTCCAGAGCTTGTCGACGCCATCATCTAGACGCTTCCGAGTTCGGCGTTTCAGGGGCGGATTAGACATTGATGATTGCGCATGTAACGACAAGCCTGTTTGTGTGGTATCTTTCCGTGCTCTATCCATGATATTGAGAGCAGATGGAGCTACGATGGGCTGCTACGACGATACTGAAATGAGGACACGCACGCACGAGGGTGAAGGTAATAAATGGCCCCAATGTCACAGTGCTTCTAACGCGCGCTGAATTAAGGGGATTTCACGTCGGAACTTTAAAGTAGTAAGTCGAAAAACCTGTGACGCGTGATATATCACGTGCGGTTACCTGTTTACTCACCTTCACCAACCTACGATTGGTTCACTGGCTTCGAAGGGCAACCGAGTTACGAATTTGCAGTTTACCCAGCTCCCACAGCCACATGTTTGCGAGAATACCGTGACGATGTGACGTTGCACGATGAATGATACAACCATAGGTGTTACAGTACCAGCAGGAATCCACTACTGAAACATTGGCACTTGATGGGTGTGCGCTAAACAGGCCCTGTTGTCCTTCATTGTTTGCCGGCATATCGCTGCGAAAGACATTATTCTAGTAGAGATCACGCTGAAGGTAAGTAAACTCACCACCGTATGAGGTGCTCCTGTATGGTACCGTGACAGAGTTGGCATGGAAGATTTGAAGGTGTCTCTTGAATACAAGAGTGCAGACAGCCATGAATGCTTCAAACGGAACGCATGTACCGCAAAAACTAAAAAGAAAACAAGCAAGCGATAGTCATCTACTGCTTACCATTTGAGAGCCCTCCATATGGAGAGAAGGGGTTAAGCTCATTCAATCGTAAACAACACGTTTACGACTCTCAGTGCGTACTATATGGGTCTGAAACCAATGTTACCACTTGACACAGTTACCGCAGGCCCTGACGATGATCCAGAGAAGTTACGAGGATGGGCAAAAGAAGCTTAGCCTAGATACACTCACCATCTCAAAGCACACATTGATAGGAATGAGTGCAACTTTTAAAAAAAATTGATGGAAGTCTTCTTTATCATGGTTGAAGAACGTGCAAGTACAGTAATAGGGTGACAAGCGAAGGTCATTGAATTCACGCGTCTTTGGAAAGTGGCTTGCGAACGCAGTTCTGCGACCAACCCATAAAGGCTAACATAGAGAACATTTATGCCGCACATACAGGCGGATTGCTTACTAAAATATAGGGACAGGTCCGCTAGCAGTCTGCTTAGGCAGTAAAAAAAGAGGGGCATGAGACATGATAACCGCCAATATCGCCATGCTGGATACATATGACACCTGGTTAATGATTGCACTACAACAGGCAAACAACGATGCGCACAAGAGTATAGCCCAAGGACTGTTTCCTCCATCTTTTGTCCTCAGTGGGTGCTGATTTGTCACACCGCTTATAGCAAGTAGGAGGACTGGCCAAGACAGATACCTGTACACAACGCAGATTTTAGTTTCAAATGACAAAGAGCAAGCACACATAACATCAACAGATAACCGCATAAAGTAGTCGGAAAAAGGATGGCGTATACATACCTGTTACGCGTAACCAGGACCATGCCTGCAAGGAACATCCCCATTGACCCCATTGAATCTGTAGTATGAAAGATTGTATTCAAATTAGACTACTTCGTGCAAATACAAATACCACGGGCGTATTCATATATAACGAACGTACCGTTAGCATCAGCATACCACGTTTTTGGAAGGGTCAGCTTTGTCTCCAGTGAAGCATCTCTTGGGTCGGTTGCGTTCGACATCGTAGTGAAGAAAAGTTAGGGTGACCGTGACCGTGGCGTGGCGTACGTCGCGTGACCTTCCGTGACGAGAGTTACACGTGATGCGTAACGCCCAGTGTCTTTTTTTGAGTCACGGTTCTATTGGACGTTCACTATCAACTTGAAGCTTGTTACAAGAGTATGATTCACAAAAACACAAGTCACTCGGCACTACTATACGCTATCTACTTTCTATCCAAGCAACACGACTTAGTTTCTACCGATCCCGTTTATCTATTCGTCTAGCATTTTCTCAGCATGAAGACTTCACCATCGCAAGCAACACTGGCAGCAGACTTGATTTTGATACAAACACCAACGTCTGGCCGAGCTCTCATCGCTACACGCACTATTCCTGCAGACACACCAATACTGATTGCACCAGCTCCATTTGCACACGTTATATACCGCACATTTCGAAAAGAGGTATGTGCAGCATGTTTCAAGTATGCGAGGGATGATGGGAAAATGGTGTGGAACATTCGGTGGGTGAGCGGAACTGTCGATAATGGTGGCGGTGGGAAGAGCAATGTCCAAGGTGGTGGAACTGCGTATTTCTGCACTGACTCATGCAAAGACAGTTGGAATCTTGGTGTGGGACCATTACTTGGTGAATTGAACATCGCATTGGATAAGGCTTCTCAGCGGATCAAGAAATCGAAATCCCGAACGTCTAGTAACAAAGCACTGTCCGAGTCAGAAGTTGAGCCCAAGCAAAAATCAGCATCAGATGCGTTGCGTACCACATCAGAATTACAGGACTTGGTCGACCTAATTACTCACACCAGATCGCCAGAAGGTGATATAACGCAAGAAACACTAAACACGGCTTGGAACCTTGCAGATATATTCGTTAACTCCGCAGGCTTTACATCCAGGTTTGACCGCGCTGTTGTCCAGCTAGATTTAGACCTGGATGAAATGGAGCTAGAGGTTGCCCGCTTGGCTGCCAGCGCAATTGTTCAGCGATATTTTGAAGAGGCAATCAATGCACCGGGAGCGCTTTTCTCACTATCGTCCTCAAAAGATTTACCATACGATACCGAAATCCTATCTATCCCTTCACCCCCAGTGATCCATTTTCCATCGTGGTCTTCTCTTCTTGCACTGCAACCCAACGAACTTTCGAATGTTCAAGAAAGAGCATATGACCTTGGTGTGCACCTCAGAGTGTATGTTTTTTTAGCACACGTGCTTCGTTCAAGACATGTTCTTAGTTTCATGGGCGGGACGTCTGGGCGGAAGGCGCAAATGAAGACTTCTGGCCTTGCAGCATATGTGCAAACGTCAGAAATGGTCCGCGCAGTCCTTGCGCGCGATCCAGGAAATGCATTTGGAATCTGGGAATTAGGCCAGAGTGTTCGTAGCTATCTCGATGGTGTTGAAGCGAGGGATGAGCGGAAAGAGTATGAGGGCTCGACTATGGATTCCAAAGAAATGCTCGGATGGGGGATTTGGCCAGAGGCAAGCTATTTCAACCACAGTAAGCAAACGCCCGCTTGGTTATAATTATCCTTGGACAAGCTTTGTGACTGTTCTCTTCTCTGATATCTTTTCATCTTTCATGCATAGGCTGCAATCCTAATGTCGTTAAAAAGCGCATCGCACGCAATCTAGTGTTTATCACGACAAGTGTAGTTCAGGAGGGAGATGAACTGTGCATTGCATATGTTGACTGTGATGAAATACAGACTACAGAAATTGATGAATTCGCTGCTGGAGAGAAGCGAAGAGAGCTTTTGAGAAAGTGGTGGTTCTTTGGATGTGCTTGCTCGAGGTGCAGTTTTGTGGGGGGAAAAATGGGAGAAGAATAGTTGCCCAGCTTCATATCTAGTCATCCGTGGGACCAGATCAGGATTTGCCTCCTTCTCTGGGCCGTACGGATGGGAAGATACAAAGCTCTTTCACAACAGGTCTTCTCTCATATTGTGTGGCAGGCATGGCGGAGCAGCCCTGTGTGGCGAGCCACAGGACACAAGCCAGAATGGGGCTTTCAGGTGGCAGAATCCGAACTGCCAGTGGCCATAAAGCTGTATGACATCACGTGAGCGGTGGACAGAAGCACTTGGACCTGCGTAGGTGAAGCTATAAAGTTCCCTCAACTCGAGTTACCTGACGACTGGATCAACCTCCACAGGGCATTGAGCCACTACGCACTTTACTACACAGTACTTACTTTCGCCATAGCAGAGGGAATACCTTTATCCCCGATGCTGAACGTGCGTGGCAAGGACACCTCGAGTAATATGGCAAAGAGACCATATACGACGCGACAAAAGCGACCTATAGACGAGCTGGGCCATTCGTTAAACGTAGTCATCGCAAAGAAGGCTCGTGGGGAATCCAAAGACTTGTTTTCTGCCATGGATCTTGATAGCTTGTTCTATGTCGGTCTCTGTCCTTGTGTCCTTGAAATTGCCGCTTATGGTTACTTCATCTACAGCTCTGTATCATCCTGCGTCCTCTTGACCTTTTGCATCTTTCGCGAACATCGAAAGCTTTCCGCCGATACCTAATGTCGAAATCATCTGCTCCCATCTGGCAAGCCGCACATCTGCAGCTACCAGGGATGCCCGAGTGCCCACCGGAACTCAGCGAGCCACAATATGCTAGCTTCCTTTTTGAACATCACTGTCATGTATGCGTGTAGATATATCTGTCTTTACATTGTCTAATCATTTTGGCTGAACAGGGCTGTGGCGGTTCAGCTGACAAGGTCTTCTGGAAGTTTCGAGCACGATACTGTAAATCCTGCATTAAATTATAGTAAAATCTCCATTTGTGCATCCTCACATTTTCACTGATTACAGCGCAGCACGCTAGATGGGAAACAGCTCCCTGAGATGGTCTCCAAGCTTATCTCTGGCTTCCACTGTATACCAACAGAAGGCGGGAGGTACTCCAGTACGTAACGAGTAAGAAGATGATCTGAAACTATACTCAATCATACTTCAGAGGCGCTATATCACCGCCGTGACGTCATCGCATTCTAGGAGAAAGTCTCAAATATGTCATTACCAGATATCAACAAACATATGGAAGAGTGCCACCATCTTGCTCTAGTCATTGAGAAGGTACTACCGAACCCATTGTCCATCCCGCTTTGATCTCATTTTCTTCTCACCCTGAATGTAGCACGCGAAGTTGTGTGAAGAGTGGTGCCTCTCTTTTCATTGTGGTCCCAAATATTCAGAGGCTGAGATAAAGGGATGGTGAGTAGAACTCTGCATTCAGATCACTGCGTTGACTATCTAAGGTGATATGGTCCGTTGTTTAGGACTAAAGATTGGATGATAAACCGTGGATGGGAAGCGGAGGTCAATTATTTTGACTTTGGGATGCTTACCCAGGATGTTGGCATGCAAATGATACCATTAATAGAATCACGGAGTACGCTTGTAATTTCGGCCACATGGTCTCGTCGAGTAACTAAATGTCTTGTGTATAGGGCAGCGTATCAGAGACAACAGACTAAACGAGCGGATGCTGCGATGGAGGAACGTCCGGGTTGAAGAGACTATTTACACTCCTCGTCGACAAGTTCTTATCGCGTCGTATAAGAAATATCTACGAAGTAGTATGGGGACCAACTATGGGTACGATATCATGCCTCATGTCGCCGATGTTTGTGCATTCCAACCATTCGACGATATCATCAAATCTCCTCCGGAAGTCATGGTTGATGCTCTCAGCTTCGCTGCCGCGTTTGCCCAGCTGCCGACTTTCGCATCACAATGGCGCCGAAATATTGACAAGGAATTGTCTGAATTGTACGAGCGGTCCCGGTTGAATTCTGCTATTTTTGCTGGACCTTCAAAAGATCATGCAGCCCTGCTAGCGCGATTGAGGCTTGCCAGCACCGTCTTTATTCCTTCACAGCCATACAGCCATAAGAGGGACATGTTGCTCTATCCTGACATGTTGGCCTACCATGATTTTATCAAACCCTTTCGCCCTCATTTATATAAAGCGGAATGTATTGCGGAGAAAACTCTTGGAGGTCGTGCTTGGAATTTGAATGGTTTGAAAAGCGATTCAAATGGTTCTATAAAGAGCTTCCCTATAGTTGAAATCTATAAACAAGCCGCCGATATCATTCGTGCATGTGGAAAGGATCCGGGAATTGCGACCGTAGATGATATGAACGCTTTTGATCCATGGCTTCGCTGTGATGGATGCCTTGTCTCGCAAGGCAAGAAGCTGGTAATGCCGTGGCGTACAGCTGTGAGTATCCTGTGCGTCCGTAATGGTGATTACACTAATGCTATGTTTTTTCAGATATATCACGCCATCCAGTTTCATCTCGTCGACCCACATTTCACATTACTTTCGTATGAGGATAATTGCAGGATCCGCAGGACGAAGGCAGTTTTCAACGAAGATCACATTAATCACATATGCAAGCTATGCCGTAGGTCTGTTGGTGACGCCATGCAAAAATCTGAGCTGGTAACTCACCTCCAGGTAGAGTAAGCATATTATTATTATTATCTAACATAAGCGCCGCATTGACCGCTTGTTTGTCAGGCATCAAATCCCAGAAGCCAAAATGAAGAGAGAGCTGCACTATATACCTGATCCGAATTCAGCGCCAACCATTATCTCGCCTGTTTGGTTGAAGCCTGGGACTGTGAGGGCACCTGCTAATGGCCTTCCAGGCCGCCTGCCTTTTCCAAACTATACTTCAATGTTTCCCACGCCTGGTGGTCCTGTTGTTCCTGCTAATCACTTCATGCCACAAACCTCGTCATCCCAGTCCTATTTCCTTGGTCCCACACCTGGCATTTCTGATTTGTGGATGCATCAAATTCCAAAGCTTCTTCCCACGGCACCTTCGACCAATCCAATGCCTTTGACAGTGTGCTGGGATATGATCTATCCTACGACAAACGCTTCATTGCCTTCAAGCTCCTACAATGATGCTAATATTGGGCCTACTGATTTCACTGCTCAGGCTCCTGACTCGGATCAACATCAGTCCGAAGGTGGCCAAGCATAAATCCTGAAACAAGGCTGATGCGCAACATCTGTCTTAAAACTTCTCTACGTATCTTACCAAGAAACGATAACAGTTACTGTAAAACTGGTGTTTGCTGCAGTGTCGTCGAATATGAGATCGTTTAGTGCTTGTGACATAATTATAAAGAGAATCACGTGATGTGATATTTATTTGTAACAGCCGCGGCAATTGAAGTTATGTACGTGAGTCTTTTACCAAAGTGTCCAAACTGTTCTGTTCCTTTCCGAGTTACTCGGGCTCCAATGCAAAGCTGGCTCTAGTTTGGAGTACCATACCCAAGGTACGAGCGCTTAGTCGTAAACTCACCTATATCTAATGGCACTCACCACATAAGCCACCTCTGTTTGCCCCATTCCGAAACCGCCACTGCAATTGTCAGGGATGAACGACCCAGAGAGACCCTTCAGTACAATGGAACATTCACCCGGCGGCACCCACACAAACACTCCGAAGAGTCGTCAAGGTTCCCGAGACTTTATATCGACATTAAACCTCGATATCCTGCTTTATGTAAGCATGCCCATCTGGTCCTGCATGACTAAATCGTCAATGTTGCAACGTATACGCAGCTGTGTCCTTTTTTGCATCCGCTCGATCTCCTTCATCTCGCACGGACGTCGAAACCTTTTCGACGGCTTTTGATGTCAAAATCGTCCACCTTGATATGGAAATCTGCTCTTCTTCGGATAACAGGCATGCGTTTGCCTGAATACCCTTCCGATTTGAACGAACCAAAATACATCAGCCTTGCTTTTGAAACACATTGTCATGTGCGTATGTAGCGTGCAGGGTTTTACTCAAATCACTCAAAGATTTTTTATCGGTCTGGCAGAACTGCAGTAAAGAAGGACAGGCGCTTTTCTGGCAATTTCGCGCGAGATATTGTGGATCGTGTATAGAACTGTGGTAATCATTTTCACTAACCTTTGCTTCTTTTGATCTTTTTCATTAATGTGCCGTAGTTTAACAAATAAGCGCGATCTCTCCGAAGCCACAAATAAACTGATAGGAAAACCCCCTTGTTTACCAACGGAAGTTACAGGACAAGGTAATAACATTCACCTCGACTGTAGATGTCCCTTCAAGCTTGATAGAACGAGATTTTAGAAAGGCTGTACCATCTTCGTGATGTAATTGCTCTGGAAGAAAGCACTTCACGGTTACAACCACACGAAGTCAAGATATACATTCAACAGCGACGACATCTTACCAGTTCTATCAACAAGGTCTGTCGTTCTTTGGAGATTCAGATATCTCCCTAACATTCTAAGGTGGTGCAGCACGCCGGGAAATGTCGCCGGTGGGATCGTCTTACTCACCGTGAGAGGCGGATGGATATGCCGATGGCTCGAAAGGAAGGGTATGTGCAGACCTTTAAAAACACTCCTCATCCATCGATTTATTTTGTGCTCAGTGTTGTGATGTGGATGATGATGCAAGGCTGGAAAGCAGAACTTGGCTACTTCGACTGGAATTTCGTCGCTCAACATCATCTGATAAAGCCCCCCACAGTTATAAAACCACGAGGTAAACACCCTATTACCTTCCATGTGTTCTGTGGTACCCATCGTTTTTACAATGCAGTTCTGTTTGGATTGAGCAAGCGTCTTCGCGAATGGATGTTGATATTGAGGAATATTCGATATGAAGAAACTATCTACTCTCCTCGTCGTCGGGTCTTGGTGGCCGAATATAAGAAATACCTGAAACTACCCGCTACAGCTGGAGACACTTCTGAACTGATGCCTCATGTTGCCGACGTATCTGTATTTTCACCATTCGACGCCATTATCAAATCCCATCCTCACATTAACATCACTGCATCCAATTTTGCTTCCGCATTCGCTGACCTGCCTCTGTGGGTGCCAAATTGGCGCCAGTGGATAGAAAGACAACTTGTGGAGAGCTATATGCGCGCCCAATATGGGTATCCTCCCCTTTTGACCACTCCATGTGATCATTCGGTGATACTGGCACGGCTTCGGCTCGCTAGCACCGTCTTCGTTTATTCTGATCAGTGTAACTTTTACCCTTCTCACCGTATGCTGACATACCCGGAGGTGCTGGCCTATCATCGTTTTGTCGACCCGCCTAGCATTTATGCGCGGAATGCGATATTTCTCGCACAACATACCCTGGGTGGCCGCCTTTGGTCTCTGCAGGTAAATGAAAATGCAAAACCGGTAGTCGTACCTTTTACAGAAGCTGCTGATATCATTCGCGCATGTCATATGAACCCGGAGACCACCACCGTCGACGAGATGGACACGCTTGATGCAAGGCTTCGTTGCGAGTGGTGTCTCGCCGTTCTACAGCGGAATCTAGTTATGACTTGGCGTACAGCTGTGAGTACACGTAAACGATACCTAGGACATGGGTGGTGGTCTGAAGTCTTGTTTGCGCGTCAGATGTATCATGCTGCCGTCATTCATCACGGGTCATTTGATCACGACCGTTTCACAGCTTCATCGCCGTTCACGCTCGTCCAGGGTGAAGACGATACCAGGGCCCGAGCCTTCGAAGGCAAATTCGAGACTTTTCGCGAGGATACGGTCCGTTTTATCTGCCTGTTGTGCCGACGGTCTGTGGGTGACGCACTGGATAGTTCAGACATGGTGAAGCATCTCCTCGGCGAGTGAATAATTCTTTTATTTTGTGCGAGCAAGTACATCAGTTGACTTAAAGACAGGCACGAGGTACTAGAGATAGCATCAGGCGTCCACTACGCTTTTGACCCAATTAGTGCGCCCCACATACTCTCTCCTGTCTTGCTGGAGCATCAAGACGCTGGGGACTATTCCACTGGGCATCCACAACATCCCTAGGCGAGTGGATGGCGCGTCATTTCAACAATCCAAGCTTTTCACGTTATCGAATACACTGATATCACGCTCGCAACGCTTATGTCGTGATGCTTTCATCTTGCCGTCGTTGTTTTGCATATTAGTTATCTTGTTTTCTCATATGGAAATTCTCTTATCTATCAGACTTGTATCAGATTATTAATAGATCTACTAAGGCAGATCGCAGCCCCTATGTATAGCATAGCAATTCAGATTCAAAAAAAAAATTCTCGCCCATAAACATATTTGAAATCAGAAGTGAATTGATAGATCAATGTCGGTGGTAGATACACGGTGTTCCAGATTAACTATCTCGCGAGACTAAGGTAGTGGGTATGAGGACGTCTGTTCGGGAACAAGCAGAACGAAGAAAAGAGGAAAGAGAAAAAGGAAACGTAGAGGATACATGCGTTGAGTTGAGTTAGAGAGTTAGGTTCTTGTGAATGTCGTTAAGATAGAGATAGAGTTATGAAGCAAGCAGAGAGAGCAGAGAGCAAGGAAAAAAGAGAGAAGAAGAAAAAGCCGAAAACAAATCCAAATCCAAGTGAGTTCATATGTTGCGTCGAGCGCAAAAAGTCCTTTTGTTATGGTAAAATCCTTTTCCCACCAGCGTCTATGAGAATAGCATGGCGCCCGCGCTTTCTACAGTCATTCGCCGTTCCCTTAGTTAATACCGGCGCCCAAGTTCATGGCGCCCAGAACGACTTCCCAAGCCAGGTCCAAACAGTCCCACAACTCATGATCATGTATGCCCAACGCAACGGCATTGCGCCAGACAGCAGCTACGTGTTGTGCTACGCCAGCCAGCGCACTCATAGCATTGTGCTGCCCGCCTGGGACATGCGAGAGGAGGTGGGAGGAGAGTGTGTGCAGAGCGGGTCCGGAAGAGAGGGTTCCGCGGGCAGAAGCACTGGATGTAGAGAGAGAGGACAGGAAGGAGGAAGGGCAGGCAGGGAGGAGTGCGGACATGAGTGTAGCGGTGGAGTGAGTGTACATGAAGCTGTGTAGTGGAGCGAATGCTTGGGGAGCTGGAATGGAGAGGGGGAGGACAGGAATAGTGATGCTGACAGTTCCAGGAGAAGAAGGTGGAGTAGAGTGGGGCAGACGAGGAAGAGAAGCACAGTGCGCCGCGAGAATGAGAGAGTGGGTCGCGACGAGGGTTGCTGGTGCGTCGTATGCTGCTTGAGACTTTGAAGCGGGAGTTAGAGCAAGGATGTGAGTTGGGAATGAAGGCGAAGAGGGCGAAGATGGGTGTAAGGAAGAAGGTCGGATCGGAATGGTAAGTGATCGGGTATGAGACATATGAGAGCGAGGCAGAGTCGAAGGAAGATGGGAAGGCGAGAGGGCAGATATACCTGCAAGCATCCTGGAACACGATAAGACATTACAATCGATAGTATGAGGTATAAATGATGCTTACTGGTTTGCTTTCACGCGTAAACCGCGTCTGACATACTCGAGAGGGACGCCTGCGAGATCTGGCTCGAGTGCGGCGATGTTATCGCGGGAAACCTCTGCATATGGGGGTCGCTGAAGAGTGCGGGGAAGCTGGACGTTTTGAGATGGAGATGCTGTGGCCATGTGATGTAAAGTATGTTCGTCGTGTTCCCAGACAGCTTTTTGGAAATGGTGGTTTGGGCGGGGTGCGATTTGGAACATTGCAGAAGTGATTAGAGTAAGAAGTGGGCTGGTTATGGTACTGTGTGATGCTGATGGAGGAGGCGGTGGTGGGGAAAAGAAAGGAAAGAAAGGGATAGGTTATATACGGGCAGTGAGCATGGCTGAGAACAAGGCAAAGTCAGCGCAAGGATCGTTTGGGATAAAATCGAATGGATCGATTTGGACGTTCGTTTGTATCGCTTATGGAAGCATCCGCTTTCGGAAACATGTCCCATTGCCATCACGACCACGAGGCCACCCAGCCGTGCCTTGTTCTTGCTTGGGCAGCCACCGTTGTTCTCCTTTCAGTCGTCGATCCTCATTCACGCCTTGTATTCCTCCAGCCTCTGTTCTCTGTCCCCCATCATACATCCTATGTGCTTATCCTTTATACCACACACATGTCGATCGGGCTGAACCTTCGAACTTCATCCCGTGATTCATACCTGTTACGCAACAATTCATAATACCATAGGATTTACCGCGAGTCTTGCTATTTACCGCATATCCCATTCCTCTTCCGTCAACAACGTTCATTTCCCCTACCTTTTGCGATCCGAAATGAGTCTTGTACCTCCATCCCCATCTTACTTCACTCCTTGCTGTGCGTCTCTTCTTTCGCTGGTCCTTGTTGAATCTTACGTATACCAGAGCATATCAACTTTCAGTCTATACGTGGGTGCGATATAGAAGCACCAAAGCCTAGTCTTTGTGACTCTTTTTTCGTCCGATAGGCTTCTCAATCAACACCGTCATCTCGGGTTGCCACAGCGCCAGGATTCCAGGAAGTCTTTCACACCTCACGTGAACCGTTCAACGCAACGCCTTGTCTACAATCTATCCTATACATAATACAGTCCTACTCAGATGGTGGCGGAAACTGTCGTTGTCATGCGCAAACTAAGTAATTCGCCGACCGAGAACCATACATATCGTACATCCGAGTTCACCTTTCACGCAAACAAAGTTCGTATTCTCACCCTCTTTGATATTACCCAATCAGTCTGCCAATCGCAAAAACAGAAGACATCTCAGCCCATTGTAGCTGACCACATCATCTGATGCGTGACTGCCCTATACTTTGTCGTCATTACACTTACATCCAAGGTATGCGATATACTTTGCGTTTTCCCCCGGACATTATTCTAGGACATAAAGATGGGTTGGTGGTTTCAAGACTCAAAAAGGCGTAGAATTGAATAAACGCACTAGAACACTAGATAAGACATAAGAGAGGGAGAATTGAGCTCTAGGGGTTCGTGTTTCCGAACTAGCGACGATAACATCATTCTCATTCGATGGCTGATAACAACATGGGCACATTATTGGACAACGGGCTCGACCTCAATTCGCTGCATAAGCAGAGACATACTTTGGCTGTTTTCTTGTTCGTTGTTTTTCCAATCAAAGCCAAATTGGTGCCAAGTATGAGGTGAGCATATTACTCATTCATTTTAACTGCATGCAGTTTATGCAATAGCGCCACGCCATGTTGCCAATTAAATTGATTCAAGTGATTATGCCCGCCCTTCCAAAAACCTGTCCCAGCGGAAACTCACAATACATCCTTTGGACGTACATACCTCACAACGGTGATCAAAAGCGAAATTGTCATACTGTGTTTCGCGCTGAGATGAGGAGGGTAATCTGGAAAGTTTTGAATCTACTGACGCTGAGAGGTTTCCCCAAGGCGTCCCGCGTACGTACGAAGCCCGCTTGTGGAACAAGGTTCAATTATTGAGACTCCGTGAAATTCGTCCTTCCAGTCACCCGCAAAACTTACTTAATTCTTCGAGTTACCACGACACTCCTCGCTCCAGTTCACCCCCAGCAAAGTCAACCTGAGGTATATAATAGGCAGTGACAATGGCTTGTAGTATATCTATTTAATGAAGCCATACCTCACCCAAAGACCAAGTGTTATCAGAGCTCATGATCAGATAAATGGCATGACAGCGTCACTCGAGAGATCTCATCACGCTTCATAGCTCCAAAGCTAAACTTGAAGAACACCATTTCAACCATTCTATAACCCAAAAGAAATATGTAGAGATATCATCTAGAGTCTGAACCAGTTAATCAATATTCGTTTCTGATGACAACATTAATCTTGTTTATGTATGTACGGTGGTGGTGGTGGCGGCGGCGGCGATGATGATGGTTGCATGGAGGATCATGATCGTCGATGCAGATTCTGGATGTATGATAGTTAGATGTGTTCAAATGCCTGAGGTCGAAGTCGTCATGACTAAGAAAAAGGTACCCCCAAATATGCAATGAAGAAGATGAGATATAAGCAAAAAAAACAACCAAAGAAAGAGGAAAAGAAAAAAAAAAAAAGAAAAAGGCAAAAAAATCCGTTAGTATCAACACCCCTCACCCGCCGCCATCCCAGCGACGAGTGACAAAAACAAGCCTCATGTAGAAAACGGCGGCGCAGCGCCCCCCGTAGGCGTCCCAGGACGAAGCATCCCAATCTTGCGCCACCAAGACCGTGGTTTGTCCTCAACACCACTCGCACTCGACGCCTCCTTCTCCACACGATGATGGTGACCACCTGGAAATCTCATCGATCGCATGCTGCGCAACGACAAAACGGAGGCGGACGCAGAGGCAGGGGCGGTGTACATGCTCGCGTAGTCGCTCTCGGATTCTCCGGGTCCCTCGAGAGAGTCGGCGTAAGACGACTCTCGCGTGGTGTCATTCCAGCTGTCGCCCTCGCCAGGGCGACCATAGTTCTCCTCGTCCTCTTCGCCGTGGTCGTCGTCACCATCGTCACCTTGTTTCGACGGGTGTACGGTATTCGCGCCATCACGCCACGACTGCGGTTCTGTAAAATACGTGAACGGCGTCACCTTTCTCAAAGTCGACGGATGAGGGTTGAACAGAGCATCGATCATGCTCTCCGTGCCCCTAGGCCCACGCGTATGCGGCAGGCGCGCCACGTCGAATGGTTTCTTTCTCTTCTTTCGTTTCGAGGCGCCACTGGCGGACGAAGCGGAGGAGAGCGAGGAGTCCGAGGAGCAGCGATCGTACAGGTCAAGCATGCGAGGACGCGTGCGATACACGTCGTTCTCTAATAGGCCTGCTACGCCACCTAGGATCTCGCCCTTTGGAAGAGGAGGTGCCGTGAAGGAGGATTCGCCACCGACTTGTTCGAGTTGGATCGTGAGCTGTGAGAGTGTTGCGTTAGTGTGATTATGTCTGAGCACACCTGATACAACGAGACCTACTTTTAGGGTGGCGTTGGTTTTACTTTGGCGGAGGAGGTATCGCCTTGTAACAGATCCTGCATCTACGTACTGAGCGAGATTGAGGTAAACTGCGCCAAGACGCGGATTCTGCGGTGCATCTGGATCACCTGGGATAACGCGCTAAATAAGAGATATATCAGCACAACATGCCCAAAACCAAATATGACACGCAGTATATCATGTGTTTTAGAGTTCTACGTACCTGAACAACGACAAGTTTGGCTTCGCAATCAGCCAGCTCATTGGTTTCCCTACCGATGCCCATTTGCAGGACGACATCCAGAGTTCGTTCCCAGATAATGTTGTGGTCCTTGAGGTGCACGAAAGACGTCTGGCCTTTGGCACCAACGTAGGAAGAGGGTGGCGTGGTGGCGGCAAGTGATGGTGTGGGGAGAGTATCGCGTTGTGAGTCCAGATAGGACTGTGGTAGCCATTCGGCGGAGAGATATTGTGCGTATGGATGTGTATTAGGACCAGTACTCGTCATATTTACGGAACGACAAGATGAGGAGGATGTACTGGCGGTCGATGCAGAGCTCACCGCCCTTGGGTTGTGTAGTGGAGGCGATATGGGGCTGTTGGCGGACACGACGACGGAGGGTATTGTGAAGTGCGAATCTCTTGAGGGAGTGCTGTTGGCGATGCTGTGTGCTTCGGATAATGATGTGTCTATAATGCTAGCTGTGTCCCGCCCCCCTCCATCTGTGTCACTGTCCTTATCTTTCCCCTTTCCGTTCGCCTCTCCCTGTTTGTCACCATCTACGTCTTTCGTTCCTTTTCGCGCCTTTATTTTACCCTTGCCCCTAACCTTCCCTAAAATCCCACCCCTCCCTGGGGTAGACACTCCCTTGAATTTCCACCGAACGCCAAATTCACCGCTGACAAATGGTACGCTGCTGAGCTGGTGTATGGTAAGCCGGACATGGAAGAGAGCATGACGAGGAAGGAGATGTGCTATCTGTGCTCGCAAACCACTCGGATGAGCTGGTGCATGATTGGCATTTCCATTCCCGTTATGATGCGTATTTGGCGGTGAAAATCCGGGTTTGCGAAGAGAGGGAGAGGCAGGCCGAGAAGATTCGGACGGTGGGGAGTTGCTATTGGGGGGTGGAGAGCCTATGGCGGTGATGGTCAAGTTGGAAGGTCGATTGTGGGATTTGAGGGTGCCAGAGGCGAAGCTTGAATTTGAAGTAAAGGAGGTGGAAGAGGTGGAATGGGTGTCGAGGCTGGTGCCGGTGCGACTGGAACCAGAGGTGGAATTTGTGTCATGGGTGGAAGAAGAGGACGTAGATGAACGGCCATTAGATAGTGCGGTATGCATTTGTGTATTGAGCTGGTCTATGGAGGCACTGAGGAACATGGAGGTAAGTTTAACCTGAAGTGAAATATGCAGAAGACGATACGCACAAAACTGAGGGTCATAGGGTCACAAAGACAAGCGTTCTCTGGAAGTGTAATACTGAGACTTGATATAAACCAGAAGGTTCATGCTGAGGGAAGAGAAACGGAGGCAAAGTGTCTCGCCTGCAAAGAGCGTTCGACGTGGACGGTCACGGCTCCGCGGCAGAACAGTCATGCTATATTTATATTTGACCTTTACTTGCTATCGACATTTATTATCTCTGTGTTTCGACTCCAAACAAGTTCAGGCGAAGCTATAACTCGCCCTGTCAGTCTTATAAACAAAGGTTTGCACTACTGCTATTACAACTGATCAAGATATTGTTCAGGCACAAGTCCGTCACACCAATATTATGATTCAAAGTGCCACACGGCAACAGGAAACTGAGTGCATTTATTCAAACCAACAACCGGTCATCGTATGGCAGTTGCAAAAGTCTCTCAGATAAATTGGCTCAGCCTGCGCTTCGATCTGATAGACGGATAACTCTCCAGATCGACTCCAGCCCTAATTGCTTTTAACTTCCAAGTTTATCCACTTTCGTTTACGCCATGAGGATATCCACTACTTTTTTAGCAACTGCGTCGATGCTGATGCCTATTACTGTAAGTAGAGGTAGATATGAATCATTATTCGAGCCATCCTCTCAGACGAAACCTTCACGAAACACGTACCCTTCCGTGCATATTTCGTTGTCGTTGAAGCGTATACGTCCTTCTTCCAATGCACAGCACCTAGATCTGCTTCTGTCATGAAATTAAAATATGGACCATACCGGAAAACTGTATGCGTCCAACTAGCGCAGTTGAAAATCATTCAACTCACACCTGACCTCAAAAGGACATCGCCGCGTCAGATTGTTCATACGTGAATGCAGCAATTAGATTCGCCCAATCCCGAGGCCTGAGCGATAATAAACAGAGCGAAGATATCCTTAAAATACAGGAAAAACAGCCACAGTCGTGTCAGAGTTCCTTCGTCCGGCTGCAATTATATGCATCTCCGTCCGGGCACCCATTCAGTTGTGGACGTCTAGGAGGTAGTAAAAGCCAATATCCTTGGCTAGAATTCCCATTAGTATTTACCTCCCCAAAGCCCACTTCAGCACTCACTTTTTAGGCGACAGGTCTATATCGTCAACGACGCTGGCGTAGACGAAGGCCCGCCTCGCCCCAATATACCTTCCGTAGTTTTTCGTCTCTTCTGCTCCTCCCTCTTCTGCCTACTAGCCTCTTCCAGCTTCTTCAGCCTCATCTCCTTTACCTCTTCCTTCCGCCTTACACGTTCAGCCTCAGCCGCCTGCGCTTCCGCCAGTTCCTCCTCCACTTTACGCTTCTCGTCCGCCTTTTCTCGCACAAGAATGCGCAACCGCATGCCTTCCCATCCCAACAATTCATGTTTGGTGTTCAAAAGATAATTATCGACACCTCCATGCTGCCATTCGTACACCGCGTGTCAACCAGCAAACTAGCCATCTCGAACCCACTACCTACGCACCTTTTTGATAGACTTTAGGGCCCTCGTCGTAAGCTTCAGTTTCAGTTCCTCGCCGAGGAGGTTTGAGACCAGACGTTTGCTTTGGACATTGGGTAGCCATGTCCGCCGTGTTTTGTGTTTGGAGAAGGGCACGTTGTTTCCGTACTGCTTCATCTTTCCGTGAAAAAGTCCCTCCTGCGAACGCTTGAAAGGCATAGAAACCCTTGTTAGGGAAGCAAAAAGGGGAGTAGTGGGCCACATTGTGTAGAGACACAACGCAAAACTGAGCCTCCAGAATAATATTCGAACTCGGAAGTCAAAATCGAGAGTTAACATGCTCGGCGGTGTGCGGCCTCAACTCGTCTAAGGTTAGGGTTCTAGCTCCCGTCAGTGGGTGACATATGGCCGAAATAAATCGACAATAAGTCAAATTGTACACTAGTAGACCCCACACGCACACTAATTGGCTACCAATAAAATAAAGAATAGTAGGTATAAATTAAAACCTCCAGATCCGATAGCTTTGCAGCCTCCAAGCAACAACAGAGATGCCGAATGCATATCCACCCAGAATCACCATAGCCCACGTATCCGACGTGTACATCGTAGGAATTGACAGGTTAATGACACCAGTGACGACGTTAGCCTGATGAATGAAGATATCAAGTCGTCAGCTGGTGATAGAGCGCGATGAGAAACGGGCTGACTCGCCAGGAGAAAGAGAGCCAGTCCATTTTTGTTTATTGCGTCTAGCAGAGAAGGAGAAGTGCTAAGCTTGGATCGAGACTGTACTTTTCCATCGTCTTTTGCAGTAGCTTGACCTTTAGCGGCGGGGAAAAAATAGGAGTCCATTAGAAGATAGCCTAGGATAAACGTGGTGTTGTACGCTACGACCCAGAGGATGTAGGTTAAATTGGCCTACAGAATCAATAAAATTCAAGTCAGAACCGGGATCGTGTAGTGATGTCGAGATACGTACCATCCTACGCGAAACATCCAAACCTAGGAATCGGGTGAGCCCCAATAAGGCCCACCAAACTACAGTGTACGAAAATAATTCTATTGCAGTCTTTCCATTTTGTCGTGGAGCAGTCAGGGATTTGCGATCTTGAGGCTGACTGTTATCTTTCTTCCCTGAGCTAGACTTGTCAGATGCCTCGACAAGAGAGTCTTGCAACCTGCGGAAGTAGGATGGGGAAGGGGGGATAATGAGGGTTCCTGTAGCAAGACCGAGCAGGTGAATGGCGAAATATCCTGAAGAGTGGATAATCAGCTGAATGTGCATAGCGTAAGAGAATAATCACGAACCGAGTAGAGATGAGACACCCTCCTTGTTCGCACTCAGTAGGCCAGTACGAGGAGCGGTGAGCACGAACTGCTTGAGACCCATGGTGGACAGGGACATTTGATGAACTGAACAAACATGAGTACAAGCTTCTGAACGACAGCGCTATAACTTACGAACTGCTACCCATATTCCAAGGAGAGAAAGCGGGATGTGTATCATGATGGGGTGCAACAGCACCTGAACAGCTGGCATAATGGCCAATGTGATGAAAAAGTTCCAATGTACACCGTATTCCGTTACATGTTCCTGAAGCCAAGATGAGCGTCCAATGGACTAACAAGAAAACGAAGGTCACCTCACTGGATACTCAGTACCTTTCACGAGCACAACGCGCAAAAGGCCGAGAGCGATGATGGGAGCAAGTTTGCGGGACAACGTCAGAAATTTAGGTAGGATGGGGGCAGTTAAATATGCGGGGTCCTTGATCATTGGGATAGCCGAGACAATTCCCTGTGAAAATACGAATGATCCAACACCAATATCCATCTATATGAAGTGTGAATAAAAGCGTTCAGTTGAACGAACGCTACCACTAGGCACGCGAGACGTACCAGGGATACGCCATAGGTCTCACATTTCACTAGAGAACGGGGAAAGACGGGGAAGTCAACCGCGAGAATAGACAAGATAGTCATTATTAGCATATGCGAACGGTACGTCGATAGAGCAGGTAATGGCGTCAGTGCTTGTGGGTTGGATGTAGTCGGGCTGTTATCAGTCGCGTTTGAGGGCAAAGGGGGTCTTGAATTCCGTGCAGGGAAAAGCAGCAAGAGACTAGCCGGACCCAAGAGTAAAGCGGACAGTGTAGATGGGGTATTCGCAAAAAGCGTCATAGAAAGCAGTAGAGGAACGACCAAAATCATCCATTCTGCTGCAAACGGTATCGTTTTTGAAGGGGGAAGGCGAGAGCGAATAGCTGAATAAAGAGCGATGGAAGACTATGTTCCGCTGAGTTCACGAAACAAGAAGATACGACAAGGAAAAGCATACCCAAGCTACTACGGAAATCAGATTAACATGCATAACAGTTGAACCTGTCATTCCAGACACAAAAGCCTCTTTCGAGGTTTTGTAGTCGCCGTCCATTGTTGCTTTCTGCTCGTTGGTGCTGGCGATTGCAGCTGGAGGTTCCTCAGGCTAACTTGAAAGTTATGTCGTGGTTGTCGCCTAAGATTAATCCGCATGACCGCGCTACAGCCACAGTGACGCTGGGCTACTACATTAGGTAAAACATCTGGTTGAGGTTGCTCCAGTCGTGTCCTCTCCGCCAGGTGTGTCCTCCTTAACTCCTTACCACCAACATCTCATGGCGACCACTAGCAACCTCAATGTTGAGCCTGAAGTCAGGCCTGTAATCAAAGGAAAAGGAAGGGCTAGAGCCCCAGAAACCGAGAGAACGCCACTTCTGGCATCACAGACGTCTGCCAGTGCCAATAACGGTGGTCCAAGCACTCCTGTGTATTACCATGAACTAGGAACCAGCACACGTGCTCGCCAGAGACTTTGGTCTAAACTGACTTGCATTTTTCTCAGTTCTCTCCTATTCTGCATCACCATATTCCTTTTGCTAGCTATCCTTGCCTATTCATATGCTGCTCGGCTCAAGGATGTATCCCCAGAGGACCTCGTAAACCAGGCATTGAGGGTGCAGGGTCCCGATAGAGTAGACGTTATAGACGTCACAGAGGAAGGTGGTTTGTGGGTTAATGTAGAAGGAAGAGTGGGCATTGATGCTGGCTCCGTCATTGGAGTAAATACAGACGACGATGAAGGCACTTTCACCGACATGTGGAAGTCGCTGGGTCGGTGGGGGGTAAACCTGCTTAGCGACGTTTCAGTCGATCTCAGTACCATCCACATAACATCTCCTCACGATCCGTCTACGAAATTGGCCTCTATTTCAGCTCCACCTATCTCAATCCCAATTACGTCGAATCCACCACGAGACTTCTCATGGTTGACACCTATCACAGTCCCTGTTTATGTCCTCCCTACGCAGAATGTATCAGCCCTGATGCAGTTCGTGAGGGATACGTGGTCTGCGGGTGCTGTTTCCATTCAAATTCAAATCGCAGAGGCAGCTGTCACAGGGGGGTTGCTCAACGAAACCGGTTGGAGACATACATTAAAATTTGAGCAGCGGAATATTGGCCTCGACATGACAATGAAGAGTAAGCATTTTCTTCCGTCGTAATTATGTTGTTATTGATGAGCTCCAGTACCTCCTCTACCTGGCTTACCTCCACCTGGCCACAGTACCCCATTTCCCTCCTTTTCTCAACTTGTGACTCTACAATCCTTCATGGTCTCCTCTGAATCCAAAGAAGTTCGCCTGCAAGCCCAAGCATCGCTAGTTAATCCTGCACCACTCACATTTAATTTAACAATGCCTACACTTCCTTTTATCATCTCTTTGCCCAGCCCAGGCAAACCAAGTCGCCTTGTTCCAATTGCATCGGTTCATTCACGGCCATTCACCTCTACTCATCCAAACATCACTCTTATCGTCTCAGGCACAGTCCTTCCACTTCCAACTAATGCATCCTCCGTCCTATCGACTTTCGTGAGCCGATACCTTTCCCTCGACCTCAATCCGATCATGATATCCACGCCAATTTTTCCATCATTAATTATTGATACAGACTTCCCTGCTCCTAATCCACGGCCCCAGGTTATGCGCAATGTGACGATTCGTGACATGAAAATCAAACCGGACGGTGCCAGCGGCGGGTTTTTGGCGAGTGGTACAGTGTATGCAAGGATAGTTCTACCAAAGGGAATGAACCTTTCTCTGGACGTGAATCGTGTTTTCCCTGATGTGCTTGTCTTTGACGGGGAGGTTCCACAGTTACCACCCTTACCTCTTAGCAACACACACGGCGAAGGCGACGTTCCTAACCCACCACTTCCCAACCCACTTCCAGAACGCGCTTTCGCTCATATAAGGCCAGACGATTGGCTATTTTCTACGAGTGTACCTGACCCGACCCGAGATGATGAGGGTGCTGCTTTCGCCGTGACCGCGAACCTTGTTGATATACCCATGGAAGTTCTACCAGGCCGTCAGAAGGAGTTTAGCAATTTCGTGAGCAAGGTTGGTTCTGCCCTAGTCTTGATCATACTTCATAGTAATAACCATAATGTTTCGCAGGTGATATTCGGATCGCAAGGGGCACTGGCAGGGTTACAAGGTTCTGCTGCTGTAGGTGTTTATGTTCATGGAATGCCATTCAACAACGGAGATTCAGATGACAATGAAATGGAGTTGACTGGACTCCCATTCCAGGGGAGTGTTCGTATAGGAAAGAAGACCCTTCTGATTCACGAGATGCCTTAGGCGGACATCTTCTGGCATCTATCAAACATTTACTGAATTTTATTTATGATCTGTATTATCCTTTGTGGTATCCTGCTATGTTTACGCTATACATTTGTACGATAGTGTTAGATACATATATTTCCACTATACTCTTTGTTCTTGGTCATTCGTCTCGCTTCATTCACTTTCATTCACATGATGTTTCAATTGACAAGGGAGAAAAATACACAAATTTGTATACACAGGAGATAATCTTAGGGGAGCGAGTCATGAAACAATCGGATGTACCAAGGGAACTTGGGCGAGAAAGTGAGTCAGACCTGAGCTAAATCGCTAGAACTGGTCGCCGTGACATACTTAACTATAGTATTTCACAACGATCCCGTTGATAACATCCTCCTCTACCCGCTGTTGTGTACCCTTCTTTAGCTCGCTAGTGCCGAATGCACTTGCTCTACTCTGCCTCCAAGCTTTCATTGTAGGCGCATTATCATCTTTGGTAGCGTATATACCTGCTCTCTGTAGAACAGGACTCCCAGTCAAGGGCGTCAATTCCACATCATCATCGGTTAACACAAAGTTTATGATCCCCAATCGTTCGTAGCCTTGCTGATCGGGAGGAGGCTGCCGTACTCGGTGAATTGTGCCTTTGTAATATCCTCCTGTCAAAAATTCCAGAGCTTCCCCAGCATTCACCACCTATTTGTAGTCAGTCGTTTGGCTCGCTCTATTTCGGCTGGAGGGGGACATACGAGAGCGTTATCAATGTGCCGAACCCAACGCCAATTGCCATCAGCAGCCATAATCTGTAAGGCAGCCACTGGTTGACTCCAAAGGATGGTGATGCTTCCAAAGTCTGAAACAACAAAATAGTCATGATACCTTATTTATATTATATCTCAACGAGAAAACCTTTATGTCCCTTCAGCCAAACGTTATTGGTCTTTATCTCATCTTCCGATCGAGGATAGCTGCAATAAAAGTATTAGCAAAAGCGGTCCTATTGGCTGCTCTAAAAGCTGACTATTTCACTAATCTGACTGCAGACTGTTAGAATGGTACAATCATAGTACTGTGAAACACACCATATGTTTCTCCCTCTGCATCATAATTATGCATATTGACCAAAGTTTCCTCAGGGATTTCGAGGCTCAATGCTATCAATCTAGTAGTCTCCATTCATTTTAGCTGAGACCAATGACAAACCTTTCTATACGCACCTGAAGATCGGATGAATTACATTGAAAAAATTATGTTTGCAGAAAGCTTCGATTTCAGGAAGGAATGGACATAGTGCTGGAGGATGCGGAAGCTTGTTGACATTGCGATGAACTGTGCCGAAATTTAACATTAGATCATTCGGTGAGGGTAACGCATACTATTGTAGGATTCAAGCTGATCTTGCACGCCATTGTCAATGTGCTGTAGAGTCAAAAAAAAATTGACTCGTCATCATTGTTCACCACAAAGCGCGAAACCTTACCCAGTAAGATCTTCTCTTATATCCTTGGAAGGAACCAGACTCCTTGATATTATGTGTGTATGGTTGCTTTTCTTCATTACTTACACCAGAAAACGGAACTTCTGCTATATCAAACATTCTATCCGTCTATATGAAAATACACAATTCAACCTGGAAATAGGCTTCGCTATCAGATAGAAAACAAACCTCGTCTTGTTTGTACCCATGATTGATGACATAAAAGAAGCCATGAGTGAGGAGGGCATTTTTGACTTCTGCAGCAAGCTCCAAGCGGCCTTCTGCAGTTCTGGCTTTGGATATATCAATAACCGCTAGGTCCGCATAATCCACTAATAAAGCAGTTCAGACTTGATAAGCAGCCATCATAAACCGACGAAACGGAGAATACGGACATTTTTCCTTAGTAGAGGGAGGGGGTGTGTGGAGGGGGGTAGGAGGAAATGTGAGACTGGGCATCTTCAGCGGTCGTTGCTGATAGTTAGGGGGTGTAAAAAGACAATGAACAGTCTGTGGGGACTGAGGTATTTAACAGGGGAACCAGCTACACCCGGAAATTCTGCTACTGGCTTCGTCTTGGGAACTTGTGACCTTTCGTTCTATGAATATGGTTATCGGGCGAACGATATGAGAAACATTCACCGGTACTTCCGTTAACCGAGCATTGAGACACCATAAACACATCAGCAAATCACAGGTTTACTTATTGGCGCGGCCTTGAACAAGCTATAAGACAGAATAAGGTGCCAAGACTGGTAAGGTGAGTAAGTAGACGAGGAATAAAACACTACGAAGGTTAAGCTGAGTAAGACTAGAACCTGTAAGTTAAAAAAGATACCAAGACCGTTAAGCTAAGTTGAACAAATGAGGAAAGACTAAGACAATTACAAGAGATCAAGGCCGAAATGGCCTACCGAAGACAATGACTGGCAGAGCAAGTCTAAAAAGACTACACCGCTAATTTTGGATAACGCTTTACTCACGATTGACGAAAGACCTTAGTCATATATCATCAATGGGGCCGGTTGGAACCTTACTCCGGGGTCTACCGAAGAACAGAGCGAAGGGTCAATGACATCTTGTCGTACTGTTGATCATGGTAGCAATAGCCCAAAGGTCTGCCAGAGGGATTCGGGAGGTATCGGAGTCCTCAATTGAGTGCTCGCGTGATATTTACAACCATGGTTCTGTCAGTGTTGAGCCTGTAGTACCTCAAAAATGATTGTTGTAGATGTTTTTTCACTAGTAATCTAGACCGTTAGTAGACCTTAGGATGTACTCTGAAATCAGGGTTCTATTGTAAAACAGTCTTCAGAGCTTTGTAATAAAACTATGTGAAACTCAGCCGCTGCCCAAGAGGCTATAGAAACGACTTAATTATTTACCTATGTGAAACTACAATGGATGTTAGTTTAAGGTGATCTCTAATAAATGTAATGTAACATACCTCAGTCGCTGCCCAAGAGGCTATAGAAACAACTGAGGTATTTCTATACTAAACCCCCTACTACTTATAGCTGGAGGTGCTACTTGCTATAGTATAATGACTCCTAGGAGTACAATTGTGCTCCTAGGAGAATGCTAGAATATACTCTGACATACCAATACTCCATAGGACAATACCTCTGATTTATAAGCCAGCCCAGTATGCAGCAGCTATTCTGTGCAAGACGTCCGTGGTTGCATGTCATGTTTAAGATCCTACATTGTAACCTTGGCCATATAGCTCAATTGGTAGAGCAGCTGGCATGTATCCAGAAGGTTCCAGGTTCAATCCCTGGTCTGGTCATTATCCAATTTTATCAGTATTTCTGTACTAAACCCCCTACTACTTATAGCCAGAGGTGCTACTCACTATAGTATAATGACTCCTAGGAGAACAATGGTGACTCCATGGAGTGGTGGCTATGCTCCATGGAGAACAATGGCTGCTTTGGCAGAGACCGGGTTTATCCGGTTTTGTCACTTCGTGTTCAAAGCACATATATAATAACAATCATGAACACATTATATTTTTTGGAACAGCGAAAGCAACAACCAAATGCATGATGGTATGAAGAGTACATGAGAACAATCAACTAGGTACTGGTAGTGACAATACTCCCATCGTAAATTAAAGAAATCAGTTCTTGCAATCTCCCCCAGATTGCACACCTTGCAGATATGTAGTCTGTGTCGTCACCAAATACCAAGGTATCCTCACCCAAAACTACCACATCCCTCTTGGCTAACCAATCCTGCAAAAAACAGCCTTTGGGGGAAATAATTGGGCTCCAATGAGTCCATTGGCTGTAAGGAAATCTGGGATAAGCCGCCACATAAGCCATCCAAAAAGCTTTGCGACCCCACACCCATTCCAGAGATTGCCTGTTGACAACTTCAGTGAGCAGCCAACGCTGCACACTATTCATTAGCCTGACCCACGACTGCGTATTGTAGGGATTGAAGTTTGGGTGAAAGGGTAAGAAAGACAAGGGAATCTTCAGCTCTTGCATTTCCTGCAGTACATCAGTTGTGTAAAAACAGAAAATAAAGGAAAGATGCACCTCTTGACGTGAGCAGAGCACTGACGGTAAACTTCTGCCACAATACATAAAGTCTAGAGGCCCTAAGTTCACCAATGGGGTTATTCCAGCACATTCCTGCGGCAGTGTGATTGAGACCTTCAACGGCTAGAGAGCATAGATGAGTTAATCCTAATCAACAAACAAGAAGAAAAAAAATCACCACATCTGCCAACCTAATCCTGGTAGCTGGCACTGAGCCTTCAAAAGAAATTGTGGTGTTCAAAGGTTGCAATCTATTCCTCGAGCCCCAATCTCTGTCAGTCACCTGTGGATACAAAATAGTGGACATGGTTGTTGCCATGATGAAGTTGGGAGAGGGTGAAGTGAGAGTCACTGTGTGGGAACTTATCAGCGAATCATTGGATGAGTTTGGGCAGTCAAGAGCCAGTGGCTGTGCTACAGACTGCATTCTAAAAACACCATATCAACAACTTGAATGTGCAAGGCTGAATATGCCAAAAGCAACATCGCAAATCACCCAATTGGACTCCTGAGGTCTGTCCGGCCATCTTGTAATGTGGATTTGCTGAATGACTGTACCTTTCTAGTGTACGGATCATTGGACGGCGGTAGGCGTGTTGCATGCCTTGTCTGCCCCAAACAGAATGGGGTTCTCATATTGATGTGGCGATGCCATGTTATTGGCCACGATACCTCCCAAAAGCATACACGCCACGTTTCCAGGCATTTGGAGGGCCTTTAGTTTCTCCCACCACCTCTGTCACCTCCGTCTCTTCCACCATCCCGTTTGTCACCAGCTCATCCACAGCAAAACCTTTCACCTCCTGTTCCAGCCTCTCCTCGCTCCGATTAACTTCCCCTGTACGATGACCATTCATCCGAGTTGATTGATGTGCCCCAAGATGAACCATCTGATATCCCAGTCCCACTGCAAGACCTATGGACATCATTTTCGGGCACACGAACTTACAAGCTTCAAACTCTGGCAGATATCTACGATGAATTATGTGGAGCAATAAACAAAGGTGAAAGCCTTTTCTCTTGCCCTTTGCGTCCTGCAACTGAAGAAATAGGAATCGAGTGTGATGACAACAACTTTGGCATCAATATTCCAGGTATGTTTTTATTCTAGACAATGTTACCCCTCCCAATAATACACTGTCAAGACATCTTATGACTTACCTTTCTCCCCAAATAATGTATCTCATTTTGCGACACCAGTCAGTCTAATTTTTCTTCATTGACAGTAGATCCTGAAGATTACAATTTTGGAGCCTTGCAGACAGAAACCCGCACTGGTGATCCCAGTTATCCATGGCCCTCACTGGTGGTAAGTTTTTCATCATCACATGAGTACACTAGTCTAATTCTATTTTGTTAGATGTTTGCCGCTGATCTACTATTTAGCTCCCCTCGCCTCCGATTCTCTCAAGCTCAACAAAAAGCAATCCTGTCCTGGGCTAACGAGTTATCGGCTAAATATGTTCCAACCCTCCACGCATTGAAGAAATGTCAAGAAACCATACGCCATCTTGTAGGAAACCCGACTGAGAAGGTAGCCACAAACTCGAGAAATATTTTTTATCAGAACTCAATCGGCAAAGCAATTGCAAAGGTATGGACATTGATTCATTGTTTCAAGTACTCAATGCACTCTGTTTTAGGACTATTCAAACCCGATTACATGGTTTTCTATGCAAGATTACCCCAAAGATGGAGAGGGCAGTATGTCTCAGGCGCACCATGGCTCCAAAATGCTATTAGACCCCCATCCGTCCCTTGCGGTGCCCTCTGTTTCCGCTAATAGCAAAATCTTCTTTGTCGATGAACTCCTGCAGCAATCCAGTGGTGCTTACTTTATTCCCAAGCAGTTCTTTCAATCCAGAGACCAGTTGGACGATGTGGAGATTCTGTTGCTTGGGTACCCAGTTGCTCGTTCAGAGGTAAGCTTTATTTGCAAAGTAATCACACCCTCATGCACTGATCTTTTCATTATGCAGGCTGGTTTCATTGTAGATCTGGAGTGTGTAATTGCTACAACATCTACGTTCAAGTGCACATATGAAAATATTCACGCCAACGAGCCAGAGTTTTGTGGCTTTACTGGTGAGTCCATCTCTTACTCTGAGCTTGTTCCTCTTACTATGCAATACACAATAGACTTGTCTAGACACTTTGCCAATTAGATGCCCAACCCTCTGCATGCAAAATCGGGTGGATGTTTGGTGCTCATAGTCCCACTAATTGTTTTCATGGATGATGTCTCAGGTAATGTATCCAAGCAATAGAACAAGCATCACATAGTTTATATGTCCAATGCCTCAATGCCTTGGGAGATGCTGGAAAAAGCGTTCTGTGTCCGGTTTGTCTCCTCATTGCCACATGCTGCGCCCATGGAGTTAATGAAGGGGGTCAAAGACTCCATCACGTTAGTATTTTTGCCATATTTTTTACAATTTTCTTCTCATGCAAATCCAATAGTGAAGCTTCATCATCCGGTGTACTTACTTGGGATTGCAAGTACGAGCAGGAAGTTATGCTACAACCTTATCTCTTATTTGTTGCAGGAGACAATCCCATGCACGCTGAGGAATGCAGTCATTTTGGGCTTCAAAGTAATTTATTTTGCAGAACATGCAAGGTCGGTGGAACTCAAGCGCACAAAAAAACCGATGAAGGTTATCAGAAAGTTTTCGGAGTAAGTCTTGTTTCTTTCTATCTTAACTGGGTCAAAAAGTTCTCATCATTTGTAGTGCAGCGAACCTCGAACCCCTCAAGAGACCTGCGAGGCAATCAAGCACCAAATAAATACTTCTCTTGAGCCTAGAGGGACCGAGAAGGTTAAAAGGGCCGCTAAAAACTCTGGAATACGCAACACAGCAAGTGATTTAATTATCCGGCATCTGCTTGAGTTGGGCAAGCAACTTCGCAAGCGTAAAGAAGGGAAGCCTGCTTTACCAGAGGCTGAAGTCCGCCAGCGGCTAGAACAGGAGCTTGAGACACTGCTGCAAGGTGCAACCCTCGATGACCACATCAATCCTTTATTAGGGATGCCAGGTGTCAATGTTCATCAAGATACGCCTACTGAGATCCTACACACCGTTTTATTGGGTGTAGTAAAGTATTTTTTGGGACAAACTGTCTGGCTCCTTGATAAAGCCCACCTACTAACCATCTTCCAGGCGCACCTTGAATCCCTCAGCAAGGATGGCCTTAACTCCCCCCAACTAGGAGCAGAATACATCTGTCGGTATAAGGGTGGCCTCATTGGCAAACATTTTGAAAGCCTTGCACAGGTAATGCCCTATCTAATATATGACCTGGTACCGCAAAATGTTCTGCATGCTTGGAGTGTCATTGGAGATTTGGTGGTGCTTCTATGGCACACGAGAATAGACAACCTGGAGGAGTATTTGGTGAGTGCTGAATCACTTGTATTTGGCAGGACTTGATATAAATACACAGGCTCAACTCTCACGTACAATTGAAGACTTCCTCAATCTCAGTGCAAAATGTGCCCCAAGCATACTGATTTCAAAACCGAAGTTTCATTTCTTACTTCACTTACCTGCATTTATTTGTAGATTTGGACCAGCACTATTGTTCTCAACAGAGCGGTATGAGTCCTTCAACCATGTTTTCCATCTGTCATTGGTATACAGCAATTGCAAGGCTCCAAGCCGGGATAGTTGCCAGTCATTTGCTTCCCAGGATACTATCAAGCATATTGCCACAGGGGGCTACTGGCGTGACTCCGCCAGCGGGAATTGGATGTGTGTGGGTCCTGCCATACAACAATATATTGCTAATCACCCAGAGCAACATTGATTATTGGGCCTTCATCCCGACACCAAGAAGCTGGCCGGCTCAACAAGATTCACCAGCGCTATAAGATGCAAATCATCAGACCCTGTGCCTTGGAAGTCAATGTGTTCATCCAAGATCTACATCAAGTCTAGATGGAACTCTCCTGGTGATCAGTCAATGTTTCTGAAAGCTTTGGCTTTCACCACACGCAATGGTGATGAGGCTAAAGTTGGCAGCTATGTGGTTGTCTCCTCATTGTCCACCGAGACCCCCCTGTGGATTGGAAAAATAGAAGAGATTCTCATCACTGAAGCAAACCGTCAATTTGCTGCTCATGTTGCTTTTACTTACATGGATTTCTTGCCAGCACTCCATGCCAACCTTCAAGTTCCTTGCTTGCGAATTACAGAGTCACAAGATGTGCTTCCCGCAGAGGTATATAATTAAGTCCTTTACCTGGTGTGTTACTGACAACATACTAGAAATTTCTATGTTCTGTTAATGTGCTACACGACTGCTGCATGTCAAACTGTAGTGAATTCAAAACTGCGCCAGTACAACAAGAATATAGTGAGACAACTAAACTCACCAAGACAGTCGCACACAAACAAACCAACAAATATGTTCTCAATGTATATGCTCTTCACAATTATTGCCTTATAGCCTCGGTTGTTCTGTCAAGTCTTCGCACCAAAACACCTTGGTTACCAATGTCCAAGAAATTCGGCTGAACGCTGCAAAACTGGTTTGTGAAAAGAAAACTCTGGTAGATGCGGCAGGTACAACAGGTGCAGATACGACAACTAATCTTGATGAGACGCCAATGCCTGCTGTGCGGACACCCGCTTTTGACCGTACACCATTCAGAAGAGGGAAAAAGAAGACGATCAGTAATCGGCCCACCATAGCAGGGGCGGATACTCCTCAACATGCCCATGCGCCAGTCTCTCCACAGATCCAATCTCCAATCCGGCCTGGTCCTTCCAGGATACCAGTTTTCCCTTCCTCTGCACCCGGACACCTCCAACGGGTTCATTCACCAATGCACGGGCTTAACGGATTGCCTGCACCATATCACTATCCACCCCAGATGTTCTCTCAGCCTTATGAATCATCATCTCAGCCTTCTTTTTCCCCACATCTTCATCATTCAATTTCACAATCTCACGCAGAAACATCTCAGCTATATCGCTATCCCCACCACATGTTTTCTCAGCCTTCCGATTTGCCTTTGCAGCCTTCTTATCCCTTTCAACCTTCTTTCCCCCATCATCATCCTTATTGGAACACACAATCATGCAGAGAAATTTGATTTTTATCCTGTTAAGTATTTTTTTTTTGTTTGTTAGAGTGGGGAGGATGATTTTGCACGATCTTGCTCGCGGAGACACGGAGCTTGAACTAATCGCTTATTTTGTCTGACTCTCACTTTTTTTCTGTTCGCTTGGGCTCGTGAGACTCACCCATTGCTTTGCAGGATGTCTGGCCCTTCATTGTTACTTTTGCAGTTCAAACGTCAACAAGTGATTGATCCAGTATCAGCCAGTCCGGGTATGGGACCATCTTCCTCGAACTCCCCACCACAATTATATGGAACAAGTCCTCCCAGATCTCCTCTTAGCTCACAACCAGTGTCATGCACCAAAGTTGATTGGTAGCATGGACAGGTGTCAATAACAAAGCGAATATTCAAAAAGACTCGCCTTTGCGCCACACAGGCACAGTGCCACATGGAATAGTAATTAATATTGCCTTTTTCAATCTTGTGGCTGATCAGGACCATCTCTATTAGGCAATCCCATCGTGCTCACCTTTGCTTTCCATTCGGTACTTTCCGTGTTTTGGCATTTCGGCAAATTTTCACGTCACCACTGGCTACACATTGCATTGCGCCCTCACCTTCATCTTTTCCCTTACTCCCCTTCCTTTGCCTAGCCCCACCATGGGCCCCTTCCTCTCCTTTTTATTCCCACCTGACGGTTGTTTCTGGATCCCCATTCTAATCCACCTCTTCGTCACCTCCAGCCTCCTCCTCCTCCTCATCTTCTTTGCTCCCCCACCATTTCTGATGTCACCACTTCCTATCCGCTTCTGTTGCCAATCTGTTGACTACCACGTGCCACTTCTGATATCAGCAAAGCCCCAGCAGCCGGTCCAAATAGGGCAACAGGTCCATCTTCATGACATTGATCTGCCATCATATACTATCAAAACATCAATCGCTCGTCTCACCTGGTTGGAGTGTGGGTGGGTAGTTTTTGAGCTGGAGAAGGTTCATCCCCTTGTGTCACACATGTTCATCGCTGTCCCATTCACTTGGGTACACTTATCTTTTATCCGTTGTCTTCGCTACAGCTACACCTACCACACACTGCCTGGGACTCACTTGTTCCAAAATTAGAACTACTCCTCTCCCTCCCTCGTTTGACCAGGTGGTCCAACACAACCAGTCCATTGGTAAGGCCATGGAACTGTCAGATTTGGACTAGGTGGTGGACTGGTGGCTCCAGTTTCTTTTTTTCAGCAGAACATTCATTTACAGTGCGATTATTTTTGATTTTTGAATCATTTTTATGGACACATATTTTTTTATAATGCCTGACTGACAATAAAGGAACTGTGTTGATACTGATATTGTTTTGCCTTGCCTTTTTTTTTACTGCATCTTCCTATGACATCATGATTTTCCTGCTCTCTTTC